TGCATAATTTCCAATGATAAACCACGTCAGATGTTTCCCCCACCCAAAACCCCTAATTCCCACCTGTCCCCTTGTGAGTTGGGGTTATTGCTGGCACAGTAGACTCCCTCTTATCCGGACTCCTCGGGACTGAGGCCAGTACGGATAACAGGCTTTCCAGTTAAACCGACGTCCCCAAAAACTCGTAAAACGGACTGTTAACTGTGATATTCGACTTAAATTTAGGAGAGCATTGTATTTACACACGTGATCACTGATCTCAAATCTTTCCCACGAGAACAGTCGTTTCAGTTTTGTCCACTTCCTGGCGATCTAGTCCGGTTAAACCAATGTGCTGATAAAAATTGTCCGGTAAAAGAGATGTAATTTCCGCCAAATGTAGTCCGGTTAAACTGACGTCCGTTTAAAAGGTGTCCGGATCCACACTCCAGACTGCTCACCTTTACTACTTCCTTCATCACTTCCGACGTCACGGACCTGTTTTCCTCCCTTCCTATAGCATTTAAGGATTGCAGATACCGTAATCTAATCGTCTTAAACAGATCCCACACTCCACACTGCTACCCTTGACTTACAATGTATCGAGTAATCTTCAGTATAATCTTTGCTCAATAGTAACAACTGATGTTTTTCCTTTTGTCCTGTATTTTTAATTTGCTAGTATACTGTGGATAGACAACTTACAAGTTTTTTGTTTACCTTTTACTTGTTATTTAATTCAGCCAAGATGGTTACTTAGCAACCCATAAGACTAATGTTAAAAAAATGTGACTTTCAGTTTCATTTTTCTACGTAATTAGATTTTTATTGGCAGTTCCAACTGCAGTAAACTCGTTTTTAGGCCAGGAATAAACTATTTACAACATTTGAAGAAAATAGTCGTAGCCGTTTTCGAGATGCAAGCAAGCATGCATACATAGGTACATCCAAGCAAACATTGCTCATATTAGGGTTATAAGATATAATATATATAGGATAGGATAATATCATCAAATTTGGAAAATACGTTCATTTGTTACTTAACTACAGGATTAACATTTTACAACAAAACACTTTTTTACCCTCCCTGATGCAGGAAACCTAAGTACTCGTTAAACTAATTCTAGGCCTATTTAAATAGGGAATAGATTAATAGATTTTCGAACCTGACTAAACCACCACTGGCTTGGCGGTGCAAATTCAGCATAGGCTAGATTAGTTTGGGTTATCATAGTTAGATTATTCTAATCGAGGGACCTTCAACCTTTTTTACTCCAAAATGCAATATTGTAAATTGTTGAAGGAAAAGTCCAGTAATGGTTTAGGGATGAAATTCTAGCTTTGCATTTATTTCAATAGTGTTTTCTATTAAGAACTTAAATTTTTTTTATGATTTTGCTTATTTCTGTGTGGTCTAGACCTACTACACCAGTTCTTAAATCACTTTATAAATTTATTAATACTTTTAGTGTATTTCCCATATAGGGAATAAGCTACAGTAGACCCCCTCTTAATCGACCTCGTATCAACCGATAATCGGATTATGCGCCTTCGATCATAAAATAATACAGTTGGTTTTAACCGACCTTGCTTTGAGAGCAGTTCGTTTTAACCGCCGTTTTCTAGGAATCTCGGCATTTCCGCTCCCACGTTGGGCGATGAAAACTGAACCATACGCTTATCTCCACAGGATATACCATAACCAACCTATTATGTCAGTTAGTCATCATTGTTCGTAGCTCGAGCACATCTGATCTGATTTGTTATCTGTGGAGCAAATTTATAACATCATAAAGTGCGTTACGATTTTGAGAACTGATTATCTTATCGCCGGAGTAAACAAACAATGCAACTTGTAGGGAAGGCAGGGAGGGGGGTTAACAACTCCAAGGTCAAGATAGTTTTTGTGCCTCCAGCCTCCAGTGAGAGGCTATAAATAAACGTCCTGTCTAGTAACAAAATGGTCGCTTGTATCTTTAATGTCAACAAAAGGTTCTGTACTGTATTACAATGTATTTGGAAAGCATCAATTAATACATTACAGTTATAAAGTAATTAAAATAGGAATTGTATTGACTCTTGCCTAGTACTACATTATATTCCACTGAAAGTAGGCCTATTTGACTTAACCGTGTTTGAAAATGGAGATAAGAGTAGTTTATTTTATAAATAATGCAAGTATGACTTCAAAATAATGATTATATGATTTCAAATGAATAGCACTTCATGTTATGATTTTAGGGATTGCTCGTTTTATCCGACCTAAGTCCAGTCCCATTAGGGTCGGTTAAGAGGGGTCTACTGTATTACCGTGGGTCTTATAGTAAGACCTAGACCCATGACCAAATTACTTTTTCGTTTTGAGGTCCCCAGAGGCAAAAAACACCTCCCTTCAAATTCATATATATATGTGTTCGTTAGCGTGATAACTCGAGCAAAAATGATTTGGTAAACGTGTAAACCTACGTTTATTCAAACGAGTTCGGGAACTAGCATGATCAAACTATGGAAACGGGGGTTTATGGGCGGTTTTATAGGGTAAAAATTGGATTTTCCCATTTTTTTACCCTTTAAACACAAAATTTCACAATTTCTTTCCAAACCATTTTGTAGGGCTTAAAAAAAAGTTTATAATTTGGTGTATTGAAGCAATGTTGCATGCCTAACGGCTACAGAGATAATTTAAAAAAAAATTGTAAATTTAAAATTCCCATGTTATTTTAATGGGGAATAAATTTCCGTTATTAGCGAATTTCCCTATAGTAGCTATTACTGTAGGTGGCACGGTAAGACTTAGGCCCAGGACCGATTTACTTTTTCATTTTGATGTCCCCAGAGGCCAAAAACACCATTCGTTCAAATTTTTATATACAGGGTGAGTTTTAATTGTCCCCCCCCCACCTTTTTTCTACATTTTTTCAAATATCAGTCCCAGACCACTTCCAAACATTGTTCGGTAAGCACTTCATTTTGACAATTTGGTCATTTCCGGCCGTCATCTTGGATTCGCCATATTGGTTTCAAAATATTTTTTGCAAACGTAAAGGTGGAGTTGTAACCCATTATTTCGAACTAGATTTTTACCCTGATTATGATGCCACAAACCATTAAAAAAATCTTGATCCATTCTAAAGTTATGAGGGATTTTTATAACATTATTTTTAACCCATTTTAACATTTTGTGCATTCACAACCTAAGACCATAATCTCAAAATAGTTCTTGATAAAGATAAGTATACACTGCCAGTCATTGTCGACCTGTTGTAGTTTGCTTGTTTATGTATAAATTTTAAACAAATTTGGCAATTTTATCTATTTCATCCTAATCTCATCTCATCTATTTATTAATAGGCATGCATATTTCTTTAAAACCTTTTTTCTCAGCTCGTGTGCATCGCAGGGAAAATCTACGCATACTGTTGGAAAGATATTTTCCTGTAGATGTGCAGAATCCCTTTATAAATTAAAATAGGCTAAAAAATAAGCACAAAAAATGAATTTGAAAACTTAAAAAAAATAACATGGGAGTTATGGGTTGCCATGTTGGTGACAAAATAACAACAAAATATAAACAGAAAATCAAAACAAATTCCTATAACATGTTTTATTTACAGTGTGGGGTTAACACTGTACATTACATAGTGTAAGAAATGGCCATGTGGCCCTAACTTTGCCTGAATAAATATATAATTTTTCATTTCATATAATTTTTTCATTTAATTTCATTTACATATTTTTGGTCGAGTTTTCGACCACTGGACGATCTCTAGTTTCAATAAAAAAAAAACACATCTAAATACTTTCCCTGTAGCAGTAAACCTAATTAGGTACCTACTCAATAAAATTAATGTTATTTGAATATACAATAAATCTGACAATTTTAAGGGAATATTTTAGAAGAATTCCAGGCATGTAGGCCCTAAATGGAAATTCACTTTGTCTGTAGGTTTGCTGGGGTGGGGGTATCGTATATTTTAACATAAACATTGAGTACTTATTTATATAAATTACAGCCTACATACACTTATATATTTAAATACACCTAATGAAGAAACAAAAAACCATTGTTTATCCACTGGCAATTATTAGGTAAAATATTATAAAGGGTGCGCCAAAATAACCTGACGGTTTTTAATAATAAATAACTCAAGAACAAAATAAAATGTTATGTATTAAATAATGTTATATTGTTCACACTACTATGCCATTTTCATTTATGAAAAATTATATCACTTAGGTGATGACCTCCGTAGACACAGGCTTTCCATCTTTTCTGCATATTCGCAGTCACCTTCCGTATCATCGCTTGAGGAATAGTAGCAATCACTTCCCGAATACTCTGCTTTAGTTCAGGGATGATACGTAGTTTTGAAACAAACACTTTGCTTTTTAAGTATTCCCACAGCCAACAGTCACAAAGTTGTCTGGGGATCAAGCTGACCACGGCACATAACCAAACCCTGAGATCACTTCACCGGGAAACAGTTTTTGCAAAACTGTCATTGAATCATTTGCTGTGTGATAAGTTCCGCCGTCCTGTTGAAACCATGTGTCAGTCATGTCTATCCCTAACATTCACAGTTGTGGAACCAAAACCCCCCTCAGCATTTCCACATAGGGTTTCGAGTTTACAGTGACGGTGTTCCCCCTTAATTTGTCCTTAAAAAATATGGTCCGATGACTCCAAACCATGCCACACCACACCAGACAGTAACTTTCTTTGGATGAAGTGATGTTTTGCCAAACATAACTTAAAAATGGCATAACTTAAGCAATCGTTCACTAAAACAATGAGGTCTCTAGCTTGTATAACAGCTGACTTATTGCAAAACAGAAACCGTCAGGTTTTTTGGCGCACCCTTTATTTTAATTTTTGGTATACACTTTTATTATTCATCGTAAAGAACAAATTACCATTTAAAATAATATTTGTTAAGCGCAGCAACGCACGCCGGGTAACTGCTAGTGTTTTAATAAATATGCTTCTATTGTCTTTTGAATTTGTATTCATTTTTTTACAGGTACTTGGTGTTTAAATTATACTTGGGTCAACAATTTTTGCATCTTCTTGGGGGTTGAAAATTCTTGACAAGCCTAAATGGCACTGACAAAGGTATGTATTAAATAAAGTACTTTATATTTTCGCAACAATAATCATTATTTAACATCCTTATGGCTTTTATATCTTGGGAATTTTTAATGTTAAAAATTTTTTTACTAGTATTTATAACTTTAGGTACCGTACTTGTGTACTTATCTGGCAAAATACACAAATTATTTTGTATTTTGGGTAATAAACTATTTTATACTTGAAGCAAAAACTGCACGGACTACTTTTTAAGTCATGACTTAGTTAATTGAAAAGTAGCATAAGTGAAGCCTTCCTAATAAACATCCACTATGGACTTTACATCTGCCTTTAATACCATAACATCCAGTGCTCTTTTGGAACATTGTAAACCAATCTTTAGAAGACTGAAAATGCATAGGCCTACTGTTATTCACACTATAACACATATTCACATATTAACATATTCACACTATAGCTATAATTCACTCAGCAGAAAGGAAAAAATGATATTCAAAGATTCCACCTCACGGGAACACAGCACTGTTTCCCTGCTTTTTCTTGGAAGCCGTTCAACCCCCCAGAGAAAAACGTTTACAACAGGGCCGGCCCCAGGGGTGGGCAGACCGGGTGGTCGCCCAGGGCGGCGGGGCCGGGGCGGCGGAGCCGGGATGGCCGCGGCGGGGAAGCCAGGGCAACAAACAAATTTCAGGGAACAGTAAATTTTTAATACGAATAAAATAATAAATTCATTAAGTAAATGTGAAGAGTACAATATCTATATTACATTTTACACAAAGAACAAGCCTAAGAAGATAAACGGCAATTCAAACATCGATATAAATTATAATTTAAGCCCAAATATAAAAACAAACCACTCGGCTTGTGTATCGAACAACCGTCGCCACCACGTTACGACGTTACCCAGGACGAGTGACAGCGTCAAAGCAACATTGCAGCGGTTGGGATTGACCTCGACGTATTCATCTCTCTCTTTCTCTGCCCCCTCCCACGACGTTGTGTTTACTTTATTATTGATTATTTTGGTAGCATGGGCTTCCCTTCCCTCCGAGAGAGAGGAGTTGCAAAAATGAGATATTTTGCTACTTTTTATCTTAATAAACAATGTCGTAATTTGCTTAAACAATTATCAATACTCATAGATAGGGTAAGCTGCCAGGTTGGGTACAATGGTCATGCTGGACGGTCTCAACGGTTGCTTCAGTGGACAGAGAGTGGATAGAGACAGAATGTGACATGTGTTTTGTGCTTGGACTGAAGAGAAGATTTTTCACCATGTAGTCGTGAGTCAGACATTTACAGACATTAATTTCAAGGGTCATCAGCATCCCTTTCTCATTATTAATTAATTTTCTAAGGGTCAGCAGTATCCCTGCATATTTTCAACAAACTTTTATATTTAGTGTGCTGTACATAATTGTGCAATCCTGAACAAGCTTCAATACAGTACAGTAGTCACTAACTGAGGCTAATAGAGCCACTGCAGCTCAATTCTTCAATTCATCTGTGGTCTAGTGGTCAGAGCATTGGACTCACAATCTCACAGACCCCGGGTTCCATCCTACCTGGCAGCAATATCTTTTTGCTCATTTAAATTGTTTAAATATTATTTGTAACACTTTTATTTTCATTTAAGGGTTATTTCATTTTATTTGTAAGCATAATAGTTATTTTCTTTAATACATTTCCTTTTGTCATAAATTGTGTTTTGTTATTTTTCACAGCAATCAAGTCTCAGGAATTAGCATAAAATTTCATAAGAGGTTAGAGTTAGGATTTTATTGTTTTAAAAGGCCTTAAATTTCCTCTTTGGCTTCAACACATTCAATTAATTCAGTTTGGTTCCATTAGTAAACAAGAGCATTGCACCATCAAGATTTTTGGGGGAGGCATGATTTTTTGGGTGGATTTAGGACTTTTGTTAGGGATTTTATACCAGCAAAAATTTAAAGGAAAATTTAAAAAATAAATTATTTGAATCATAACAGTAAAAAGCATAAGCACTGTTTATTTATTTAACCATTTAATCAGGATTACCATCGTTATATATCTAAGTTTGCCATTTAGACCAACACCGAAATGTTCCTGTCAATCCGTAAGGGGCGGTTCACGAGCTCGGGACTTCATAGTCCGCGACCAGACGTTGGTCCCGGACTATATAAGCGACGACCAATAAATGGGTTCACGAGTCAGAGCCTAATGATGTTAAAGCCGGGCCCATTGTAGGTCGAGACCAAATCCATAGCGGAACCTAATGACGGGATTCGCAGGGAATTTCTGTTGAGACGTTGGTAACAACCAGTAACAACAGTCTGGAAACACATGTGAAGCCACTGTTGTTGACATACGCACTTCCATACAATAGGATGATCGTGAAAAAGGGCTGAACCAAAACGTCTAAACCGCTTATTTTTCCCGTATTTCATTGTCCCAATGCTCGCCTATGATAATCTATCTAAGTTTGATTTATAAACACAACAATCCACGTTTGTATGAAATCAGATAATGGAAGTCTTTAGTGAAATATATTTTTCTGTGTGCATTATTATAATTCAATTAAGATGCATGGCAGAAAATAACCGGGTAGGCCTATTTATAACCGGATGAATGCCTATTTTGCATAGTATATGCCCGATAATTAAGGATGGTGATTTTTGGATAGGATAATTTTAACTAAACTTATTTAAATGGTACAATTATTGAAACTAAAATGTATTTAGAGGTACTGATTATTAGATATAAAAATCGTATGTGTGTGCTGGATTTAATCGTGGTTGTAAACAAAGAATATTCTTTCCGTTATTCTTCCACTCTATTGTGAAATGTTGAAAATAATATTCTGCAATTAGCTCGTAATATTATTTATGTTAACAGCTATGGTTTTTAATTTACATTTTGTGTTGTTGCGATTTTTAAAATCAGTTTCATTACAATGCGTTTATATTTACTAGGTAGGAAGGATTTACTAGTATTATATTATATTTACTAGTAGGAAAACATAGTTTTTTTTTTCTTTGGGCATAGTTTCGAACTGAAAATTTGATTTGTTCTGCTTTCATTACCAAACAAATAGCTACCATCCAAACTTTACTAACATCCAATAAATCACCAGTTTCTCGATGAAAAGTGCCATCAGCCAAAAATATTAGTGCAACTGACATTTCTTTTTCAATTTAGAATACTGTAATGGATTTTGCTGTCGGGAAATCCATGCCTTGGAGTGAACGCCTCAAATGACTCATTGACGGCATCTTTGGACACATTTTAATCTATCTTTAAATTCATCAAGTCATAAAAGGGATTTAGTCATGCTAACGAGCTGGTTCTATGCGAGGTAGTGGAGTGATGGTACATAATTGTTAACATAATACAGTATAGATATTTCATAGTCATATTCAATACACACGGCGACCAGTGAGTACAACTCAAGACGGTGATATCACCGCAAACCGTACTCAACGACTGACGGTTTGCTTGATGTTTCCCACGGCAAAAAACTATTTCTGATAATTATGTTGGATAACGATGGTTTAACTGTGGCTGATTAGTTACATTTAATTTCTACGCATAATTTTGTCGTTAAAATTGTAATAACATGGGGTTTATCAGTAAAATATCTTTGTTATGGTACTACTTTGTTACGTGCATAATTTATCTGTCGTTTTAAGTAGTTTTATGATTTTTTTCATGTTTTATGATCCTTTTTACCATTTTTACATATTTTTTAAATATGGTGTTGTGGGTAATGAAACTGTTCGGAATTTAATGAGGAACCATATTTAAACATTAGTTTTTAACAAATAATAAAAATAAAGGAGCTAATTAGATAAAACCGGCATCATGTCACGTTAAACCTGCCTCCTACCAGGTCTGAGTTGGAGACCAAACACCATTGTTCTTTTGGGCCCGAACCATCTCATTTGGGCTCGGACTTGACTCGTGAACCCACCGGGACTAATGATCAGAGCCGGGACTATCTGTAATTGGACTCGTGAACCCAACTTTTAAAACCAGGTTTTATCCCTGCACTAATTGTGTGCCGCCTATCAGTTTGGTCCGCAGCTTATATAGTCTCGAGCTCGTGAACCCGATTTTTTAAGTCGCGGCCCAAATACCGGTTATTTCCGGATTCTGGGCTCGGACTACGATAGTCCCGAGCTCGTGAACCGCCCCTAAATGTTTTGTTCTGGTTAAGAGGACGGTTGGTAGACCTAATGGCTCGACTGGCAACCCTGGTCACAGCCATTAGTAGAGGATGAGTAGGCAACAGTCGTCTGAGCGTGCTTTTATTACATTGTACCTTTTTATTTTGCATGAATCACAATTAATTATACTCTTTAGCCTATAAATTTACTCATTCAGATGGTATTTTTAAATCAGGCTATTATTTATTTTATTGGATTTTTTTGGTCATACCCATGGGATGTAATTGAAGACTATAGGATAGAACTTACAATATCAGTACAGTAATAACCCCTTCCAATGTTTAATGATGTAAGATCCCGTCATTATACTATACTGCTAAGTTTATAAATTTCGTAATTTATTTAGGCCTAATACAAAACATCTGTTTACAGTATTATAAAAGCCCTGATCAACCCTGACCATGATATCTTTTGTCGAACAATGAAGATTTTTCAATCAAGTTCTTTACTACCCTCTCGGTAAATAATTCTTCATCATGATTAGCTTCAGCCTCAGAGTAGTTTTACAATTATATTAAATCATTTGTTTTTAAGATTCTCTGAATATTTATGAATATAAATATTATTTATATTCATATTATTTTTCTATTTTATTTATTTTTCCAACAAATACGTCAGTCACTGATAGCGACTGAGCCTACGCACAGGCTTCCAGCCCATGTAGGCTTATTTCCTTAATGTATATGTTTAACATAGCTTCTCTGAGACCTTACATCATTTGTTGTTATTATTAAGTTTATATGTATTTTTATATTTAATTAGGTATTTTTATCTATGCAATAGCAAGTTGGTTGTCTGTCCACTGGAAGTTATGTTAGGTATAATTTATATTCTGTATTATTTTTGGAAATAAAGTATGTTTGATGATTTGATTTGAATCAGTTTACTGTATAATTCTATGTGCATAACATAATTGGTTGCACTATCGCATAGTTCGAATTTTTAAATTCTGTATTGTTTGTGTTTCTTATTCGGCATATATTGAATAAATATGCATTTGTTCTTTGTTCCTACTACACTTTCGTTGATGGAGAGTTCCTGATTTGGTACAAAGTGTTTTTTGAAACTTGTAGATGATCTAACAACCACATTACTTTTATCCAATAGTCATGTCCAGGCTGACCCCTCTCAACAGCACGGGCCGATGTCAAATGCAAGAAGCTGCTTATGAGTAAAAATCTATTTACCCCCATGGTGTTCGAAAAACATGTTATTTGTTCTGTTTTTCTAGTGTCCCAATATGATTTTATGTTTTTTCTAACAGTCATTCCCATATTGATTAGAATGGCAAAAAACTTTTTCATTTCCTGAATGGAAACATTGGACCATCTTTTGAACCTAGAATGTGGACTCAAATTATCTCTTTTCATCTAATGTTCTTTGAGCATAGGCATTTGTTTCTCTAGTAATGAGATTCCAAAAGGCAGCTGTCAAGAATAGGTACAAATAATTGATAGGGGAAGAATTTTTGGGGGGTAAATCTTTGGGTCCTGTAGCCCTAACTTGAAACTAAGGTCTCGGTCTGACATCTTTCGGAGGTTCGGGGGGATATACTCTAATCCAAGGTTCTATGTTTTGCTATACCGGTATTAGCCTAGGCCTACCTGCATTAGGGTCTTGTTGTTCATTTTCTGTTTCAAGATTTTCGTCAATATCTGACGTCTCTAAATCCTTAAAATCAGGCACATACTCCTCTCCACTCCCTGACGAAAAGTCTAGCAAAGATAGCTCAGAATCTGAAGGACAATTCACATCAATATCACTACCTACATCTTCAGGATCATCAAGCAGTCCTTCAACATTACTTATATCTTCTTCTAGTGCATTACGCATATCACTACTGTCCATTTTTACCTCTAAAAACTACGATAAACGTACAAAATCACACAAGTCACCCATGTAAATAAACCAAGTTGTTTACAATACAAATGTCATCTGTCTGCTACAACTATGATCGGCACAAAAATGAAAAGCGTCTAGACACAGACATCGGGAAAAGCTTAGAATCTGCCAAAAAAACGATACCTAACTCGATCCAGTTCAATCCGATTCAGTCAGTCCCAGAGCCTTCGCCATAAACAGTGTTTGTGAGTCACAAAAGCGACGCATAAAACCACGGCGGGTGTGTTATGAGTCGCTTTTATGACGCATAACACTCGCAGGGTCAATTAGAGACTATTTTATTCATACTATTGGAAGTAGACTATGGGCCGGTGCAAGATGTTTTTTGCTGGACTTCCAAGAGTAATTTTGGTAGCCTTGGATCCACCCCTACTTATTTTGCATTAAAACTTGCGTCTATGTAGATGTACAGATGTCCAAACTAGTTTTAGATTTTTATTTAAGTCATAAAACTCCAGCAAAAAGAAATTTGCAAATAAGTTTTAGTCATACAGTGGCAAAACGAGCCATTTATAATACATGCGTTGCAGGTCTAAAGTGGCTCTTTTACCACCATATAGAGTAAAAAGCCTTTTTAGTCCCTAGGGAGTTAAAGATGCTGTCATTATGAGAGGTTATCTTTAAATGTAAAATACTGTTGTTTTGTAACTTGTAATAATGATGCAATATGACAAAAATATATTTAATCAGACGGGCAAAAGGTGTGCGATTTTACTGACATATACTGACAAATGTTATAAATGAAAGGGTGAAGTGTAGATGTCATGCTTTGTGGGGCATTAGGCTTGGTTTGGGGGAGGCATGCACCATTGCCCTTAGGGGTGGGGGGGGGGGGGGGGGGCTGGGCATCTCTGGAGCATTTTAGTGCTTACATTTAATGCTTTTTAAACACTTTTCGAAGGGAACCTTTTCATTTAAATGTCAGCACCCTTTATACCTTCAACCATGCAAATCTGAAAGTTAGTGATTTACTGGTTCGATCAAAACACTAATACTCTATTCAAAAACTGAAAGAGAACTTTGTAGCCTATGAAAAAATGACTGTTATCTCTTAATAGATGAATCTGTATGTGGCTTATAAAGGCTCTTCTGACTATAGATTGTAATAAAACTTAAGGTAATATCTTTGTTTTCTTTTTCAGATCACAAACTTCAAAAGAGACAATTTGAAATGGGATGTCAACATTTTGCTGACAAATATGACAACTACATCAAATGATCGTATCATTTAATACTCTGTTAATTGCTATATGTCTTAACATCAATGTGAGTTTCATTTTGTTATTAATTTGTTAATTCATATGTAAATTTTAATCGCACCAATACTGTATATGAAGTATGTAATTATGTATTAAATTTAATAATAGTAATCATGGATTTAAACAATCCTCGGGCTGTGCCTGAGGATAAAGGAATGTCTCCACAAAACACTCTTTGGGAAAGAATAAAATTTAATTCGTATGAGATTGATGATGAACAGACAATTCACAGTAACATCGATAATTTGAAAAAATTAGCAAGTACTTGTGGATTTGGTTCCAATACAGAAGCGAGGATTCTTGAAAAAATAATAACTGAGTACAGTAAAAAGTCTGCAGATTTTCTTCAAGTGTTGGAACAAGAGGATAATGTTTCTCTTAAAAGTGTATCTGAACTAATTGAGAAAAATATTAGTAAGTCATCAAAATGTATGGTCACAAATAAAGAAGAAAAACATACTAAAAGTGCTATTTTTCATCAAAAGATTGTTTCCAAAGATGAAATTGACACTCTTATTGATTCTTCTTTAATGGACGGAAATGGCATGACTTTAAATGAAATCAAAATGTGTTTGGAAAGTAAACTTTCGTGCTCTCTAAGCCAAGATGACAAAGATTACATGAAGGAAAAATATGTAGAATCTCTGATGGAACTGTGGCTTGATGAAACTTCTGATAACGCCTCAAGTTTGAGCAATGACCCTCTTGAGCTCCTTGAGAAATTAAGAGGAGCAACATCACTGCAGGATTGTTTTGGTTTTGGAATGGGGCTACCATACAATGATTTAATGATTACATTTTGCAAAGACACAAAATATCTTGATAGTAAAGAAAAACAGGTAGTTATGAAATTCAAATCTGTATTTCTAGCATTTCTATTGCTTCAAGCAACCTATTTGCAGGGGGAGATTACCTTTCAAACAAATTTGATCTTGACTTTGAAAAGATCAAAAGATGTTGAAATTGTAGGTAATATGCTGGACCTAGTCAGTTTTCTTGAATCCAAAGAAGATGAAACAATATGTTTTAAGAAACTTCTTCGGAGGATAATTAGCTGTTCAGCTTTGGAGAGTTCAGACCCGTTAAGAATAGGATCAGAAGCTATTCTCTATCAAGATAAATATTATTTTGTAAAATATATGAGGGATATAATAGTGGACTATTTGAAACCATTTGTAATAGAAGAGAAAACACTTGATGGACGAAAACTCTTGGAAGTAAAGGGAGAACATATTGTAATAGGGAAAGTTCTAGAACACATAGAAAGTCATCCAGGATTTAGAGAGTTGGAGGAAATCAGGTTTGTTAATGCTGGTGTAATTCATATTGATGAAAATTTGAATTCCAAAATTTGGCATGGCAAAAACATTGTTTTACTCACAGAAACTATCATCGTAAGCAAAGAAAGCCAAATTACTTGGGACGTCTCAGGACATGATGCTCATGGCCAAGGTACAGAATTAGCTTGCACAAGTAGTGAGGACAAGGGAGACGGAGTCAGAGGTAGGCCAGGTGAGAGTGGAGGGAATGTTATGATCATATGTGATGAAATAGAAAATGCTCCCTATCTTAAAATAGTATCCAACGGAGGAAAAGGAGGACACGGCCAAGATGGTAGCATTGGTGGCGATGGTGTAGATGGTGATTATATCGGACCAACTGATTTTAGGAAAAACTTTCCTCCAGTGTGCAAGTTCTTAGACAATAGTAAAAGAGAACATCTAGAAGAAACTAGATTACATTTAATTGAGGACCTTCAGACAGTGAAGCTCTCTATTTTTGGAAAACTTGAGTCTCTAAGTAAAAAAGACTTTGATCATGTGTTTCAAGATACCATTACTAAGTTGGAAGATATATACTTTGAAGGAAAAACAAAAACAGGTTGTAAAATATTTTTTTCATTCCACTATGCGCCAATAATGGAATTTAGTCAATCTTTTCTTTTAATCAGAGGAGCGGATGGAGAACCTGGGAAAAAAGGAGGAAAAGGGGGCGAAGGAGGTGAAGGGGGATTTGCTGGTGAAATCCATGTTGTCAGTAAAAACACTACATCATCTGAAACAGGTATAATCATATGTACAGATAATGGTAAAGATGGAAACCATGGTAAATCAGGTTCGGACGGTAAACCAGGTAAATCTGGACTTGATTGTGCTTACATAGATTCAACAAAGCCGAAGCTGCCATTTTTTTCTGAAGTGCATTTTCCCAAATTTTTTTTTACCAATCACTTAGATAACCAGAGGTTGAAAGTTGAGTATAAATCTAACGAAGCACCAGAGAGAATATTTTGTCCTCATAACTCACAATATGGTGAAATAGTTAACACAAAGAAAGAATTTTACAGAACACATACCATGAGTTACGATTGTTGTAACACATTATCAGAGAAAGAGCAGACACATAACCAATATAAAATACAAGGCAACAGAAAGAAAACAATCAATTTTAACAGTATCATAGAACAGTATAAGGACATAACGTCAATGTCACATATTCAAAAAATTGATATTTTTGAGAATGATATCAAGCAAATGTATGATGAAATAATTGAAGAGGAAATGTTGAAAGAAGAAAAAGTCACCCTTGGACAGAGAGTCACAAGATCGCTAAACTTTTCTCTGCAGAACAACAAAAAGGTTAACTGTATATCTTTGCATGGAGTTGATTGGAAAGCTCACAGTTCACCAACTGCTTGTAATGATGTATCTTCCTCAAACAACAAATCCTCCGATTGGCATGATTTATTGAAAGAAAACATTGGTTTGCAAGAACTAAGGACTGTTTTGGACAAAATCAATTTTCAGACAACTTCCCCAGCAAAATCTATTGCAAACAGAAACCCTTTGATTTTAAGAAATAAATATCAGTTAGCAATATTGAATCACCTGGAAAAGTCCCCTGAATTGCACACTTTAACACAAGGCTGTAGAAGTTACAATCAAAAAGTGTTGGGATCGATTGATAATACTCTCACTGTAGTTGACAATAGTGAATCCATCTCCGAGGTTGAAAGTTACTTATGTAGTGATTCACAAAAAAACAGATTAAATATTATTGAAATGTTGGAAAATATCTCCAATGATGGAATATTTTGCATGAAAATATTTAATATTTATCTTAATAATAACTTGGATGACTGTGAGAAATTTTTGTCTGATAAGCATTTAGTGGCTTATACAAAGCATTACAACTGGTTTAAAACCAAAAAAGCTAAAAGCATGCATTCAAAACTATTACCAATTTTGAACCATCTTTCAAATGATGATGGTTTGTACAGACAACTAGTAAAGGCAATTTTTGATCAAAACATATTTTTGGAAATTGACGTGGAACACCAAATTCGTAGCAATTATTTTCTTAACATTTGCTATGAAAAGTATGTTGAAGAAGTCAACAAGCCTTTTGAATGGAAGAGTATTCTGATCACTCAGCAAGCACTCACAGCAAAACTTGTTGAAGGATTCAAAAGTGTTATAAACCATAAAGGGCACACCTCAGCCTTATTCAGAGAAGTTGTGGCACAACTATTCAAAACAAATGTGCTGCTGTATCAAATCAACGAATACAATCAGATGGTATTGACACACAATCATAATCCATCTGCTGATCAAATTGCTCATATTCTAATAAGAGACAACAAATGTTTAAAACTTGAAACTCACGAAGGCATGTGTCAACTAATTGGAACTCTAGAAGAAAAAGGGGAAATCTGCAAAAAAATACAGTTTCATGTTGATTCAGTCATAGAAAAGGCAAAGTATAGAGAATATCTAGATGAATTTCTTTGTGAAAGCCCATTTATACAAAATACTTACAATGGTGTTAGTAAATCCACCATGATTAAAATCAAAATCAACCATATGCTAATGGAGGACGAATACATTGAAATGATTAAAAGTTGTTTCAAGAATGATGAAAAGCAGTTATTAGATAACAGGTTAAAAATGCTCAAACATGATTGTGTCGGCTATCAAAGTTATTTGTATTATATTGCTCTTCGCTTAAAAACTGAAGAAACTAGAATATCAGTTGAAGAGTTGTGTTTCATTATAAACTTTGTTTTGAAATCAATTTTGGAATCACCACTTAACTCAAATATTGTTTCATGGATTCTATCTTCTCAACATCACACAAATTGGATTGTCGAATTCATCCTCCTGAAACTAGAATTGTATTTCAAAAAATCGTTGGAGAATGAATTGAAGAAATCTTGGAGAAAGTGCTTATGTCAGGCCAACAGAGATACATGCATGCTGCTTCTTAGTAAGCTTGACTGTGATCAGAGTTTACAGACCACAGACGACGCTGGTGAGATACTCCTGTTAATCAGCCTTGTGTCTGAGTTTCCAATATCTCTTTCTGAGTTGTGTCTCAGTGATTGGAAATACTACCTTAAAGATGTTTTTTGGATCAGTGAGATTATAAACACAGGGGATTGGTCTGTTGATGAGTTGAAGGAGGCCTCCTTCTACCTATCAACATTGGAGAACAGTTATGGAAAAGAATTGTGCTGTAAGTTTACCAAAGTGGTAAGATCGCATTCAAAAAGCATTAACTCTCAAAATGACAAACTGCAAGTGTTTAACACCCTAAAACTTATGACGAACAAAGAATATCTATTTAATGAGAAACTTCTTGAAATTCTTTCCAAATCTAATATTCATAAATGGGAGGAGATTCTAAGGAAAGAATGTTTTCCTTCTGATAGTGAGCGGAGCCTGTGCCAGTTGAGGAATTTGATTGAAAGTGGTGGCAATACATCCAAACTCATAAGAAGCACTATTGATGAAACTACCCTGAGCGTAGAATCTATTAGGTCAATTTGGGAGTTTTTAAAGGGGAAAATGGAAAAACCATCAGAGTTGAAAAGTTGGATATCCAATCTTCTTGAAATATTAAAAAGAATTATTGTCCAGAGGAAAAATTGCCCTGAAATAGAAGTTAAAATTGATCATATGATAAATCGTATCTTCAAAGAAATGAAGGAACACTTGACAAAATTAAAAGGAAAGGAAAATATTTCTATTATGACATTAGATCAGTTTATTTTGTGTAACCTTGAAAACATTGTTCTAGCAACAATTTGTACTTCAATATATATGTTATATGAAAAGAAGATGTTGAGAAATACTCAACTAATAACAATATTGACATTTCTAAAAACAAATAAAAATGTACTAGGCCAAGTTTCAACAGGTGAAGGAAAATCATTTGTAATCATTGCCGTTGCAATTATGAAAACACTAGTACACGGAAGTAAAGTTGACATAATAACTAGCTCCCATGTGTTGGCCAAGCGGGATGCACACCATTACAAAGCATTGTGCAGCTTATTCAATCTTGATGTTGGCCACAACTGCTCTGAAAATATTGACGAGAGAAAAACTGTATATTCCAAATGCCAAGTAGTGTATGGAGAACTATCGTACTTTCAACGTGACTTCCTTTTGGATCGGGTTTACAACCACAATATTCTTGGAGATAGAACATATGAAACAATTATTGTAGATGAGGTTGATAGTATGCTATTAGATAAAGCGAACAATGTCCTTTATCTTTCTCATGACATTCCAGGCCTAGACAAATTAGAACCACTTTTTGTGTTCATTTGGAAATGTTTAAATATTTCATCCAAACAAGACAAACCTGATGATATTTTCAATGTTGACAATTTGAAGGAAATGATTTTAAATGAGATGTATGGAAAAATCACCATTGAAGATATAAGAAATATCAATAGTATCAAAATCGATGACTTTTGTGCTCATCAAATTTGGACTTCTTTGATAGAAAAAAAAGTGATTGGTACTTGTGGTAAGGTGTTTGTTCAACAATACAATAAGTCATTTGATGGATTGAAGGATTTAAGTGAAAATAAAGCCTGTTGTAGCCATATGGAAGATATAGAATACTTATTGAAAAAGGTCATTCATCGTAAAAGAGAACTCGAAATCCCTTGTTATCTTCAGAATTTTGCTGAGGATCATTTAGACAAATGGATTGATAGTGCTATCACCGCTTTAAATCTTCAAAACAATATTGATTATGTGGTTGATGTTGACAGATCTAATAGCAGCTCAGATCGTAATCCAAATATTATAATTGTTGATCGTGATACAGGCACTGATATGACTAACTCCCAATGGGATGATGGTCTCCACCAGTTTTTGCAGTTAAAGCACGGTTGCAGGTTGTCTCATTTAACATTCAAAGCAGTTTTCATTTCTAATGTCTCTTACTTAAAAATGTATGAAACTCTGCTTGGATTAACTGGAACTCTAGGTTCCATTAGAGAAAGAGAGCTATTAGAAGATGTCTACAATGTTGAATTTGTTACAATACCTACTGCCAAACCCAAAAGATTTAATGAAGAAATTCCCATTCTCTGCAATAGCTTTGCAGAGTGGTCAACTAAAATTGTTGAAAAAGTATACCAAATAGCTGATAAAAGATCAGTTTTGGTTATTTGTCAATCACTAAGTGAAGTGTTCACTTTAAAGAAATGTTTTGAATCCCATCAAAGTAAACTACAAAAAAAAAGACATATTCACACCTATACAAGAGACTACGAACAATTCAGTGTTGAAAACCTAGATGTAGGTCATATTATAATATCGACAAACTTGGCTGGGCGAGGTACAGATATTCAGCTTTCTGATGAATTAATTCAAAATGGAGGTTTACATGTTTGTCTTACTTTTTTACCTAACAACTGCCGTATTGAAGAACAAGCATTTGGTCGAGCAGCAAGAAATGGCCAACCTGGCTCAGGACAGATGATGTTTAAACATTATGTCCAAGGCGGTCTTTTGAAGGTGACAGAATTAAAGAAGGAAAGAGACATGAATGAAATTCTTAGAGTAAGTCATGTCAAGAAATATTATGATACTAAAATCAAACCCGAAGAAGATTTATTTTGCAAGTTTCAAGAAAAATATAAGTTGCTTGTGGAATCCAAACACTGCAAAGAAATCAAAGCTATTCTGTTAATGACTTGTTTAGACGAATGGGCATACTGGCTTGAAAAAAGTACCAATAGCAAAAATGAGATACCTATTAGCGATGTGATGGAAAGAATTTCAAAACTTGCCAATGATGATTTTGATGTTTGGAGCAAACAAGTTCTAGATCCCTTTCAGCTGACTAAACTGGGTTTGTTTCATCTAAATAATGATAATGAAAAGGCAATCAAATTGTTTGAGCGGGTCATTCATACTGAACCTAGGTTTAGTGTAGCGGCTCGTTATTACAACACTTGTGCTAGAACATTAAAAGATGATATTTCCAAAAAAGACTGCAAGGAATTAATAAGTGAATTGAAAGCTGTTCAGAAAGAGTTCAAAAATCTCAGTGAATGTTCATTGTTTTCTGGTACCCTAATTGACTATGTAAAAACTCACAATGAAAGAAATATCATTCAGACTGACTCATTCAAGCAGCAACAGGAAATAGTGAGCAAAACCTATGAGGTTTTTATTTCATCAATCCATAGCATTATAGGATACAATGTTACTCCAGAGGATTTCCAAATAGCCTTAGAGGGTACACATGTAAATGCCAAAGTCGTACCCTCAATTATATTTAGAGACCTGATTGAGAAAGAAGTTATTCTTGAAAAACTGAAAGATGACATAACTGAAAGAGATCTTATTTTCTCATTAGAGTATGGAGTTTGTCCAAGAATGATTTTAAGAATGATTTTAAATAACTGCAATCACACCAGATCAGGAGTCGAGGAATTTTTTTTGAAACAAATGAAGAGATTACATCTGCTGCCATCTAGAGAAATGTTTTGGAAAGAGCTAATATCTGCTGGCCTCTTAGAAAATGAAGAAAAGTATGTCATTGTCAATTGTCCAGAGCTCAATGATTTTGACCCATCACTTGCAGATGAAATACAAAATTTTCAATCAATTGACATCAACACAAGTAGTTCAGGTAAAATCAGTTTATACTCCAAAGAAGAACTAGGCCTATATCTGAAGAAAGATGGTCATGAAGTTAAAAACTTAATGTTTAATAAAGACATCCTGAAGAGACACTTAGGACCAACAAAATACAAGTTTTTGAAACAGGAAAATGTCTTCCTTTTCAATAAACAGGCTTCTTTTTCAAAAATAAATATGGAAACCGTAAAAATGAACCACTTTGATAGTGTTACACTGGATGATTTTCTAAAAATAGGAATACCAAAAGAAACAGCTTTATCTATCATTGGAAGCTTGATCAATGAAAATGTCATTAGTAAAAAAAATGATAATGACCCACTGCAGTATGAATTGCTTGTAAATTGGGAAGGAATTAATAACATCGAGCTTAAATCTCACAAGTATTTCTTATCTGATGTTAAGGCTGTACTTGAACATTGTTTTTCCTTTAGAATAGCGATTCAAAAGCTTATATTCGTTAAACCTGATTGTGAAGGAAACTACAACAATCTAGTGCTACCCTTGCAAGTCAAACTATATAAAAGATTTTGGTTAGATTTGCTAGAACAAGAGATCATTGAGAAAAGAATAAACCATGAAAAAAATTATTCTGAAACTCTTGAAGCTTTGTATTCTTCATCAATGGATAAGGCAGGATTTATCAAGATATTTTCAAAGTTCTATGACAAAGAAAAAAGTGAACGAATTGTTGATGAATTAATTGAAAAACATTGGCTAAAAAAAACTATTGGACGTAGTAAGCGTCAATTATATGTCATTAACAACAAAATTGAGGAAGAAACTACAAAAAATGAAAAACTACTAGCCCAACTCTCTAAAAACACAAGTGATTCCAAAACAATTGAACAAACTATCAATAACCACAAAATTGAGAAAGAAACTAAACAAGTTGACCAACTAGCCAACCTCTCTAAAAACATAAGTGATTCCAAAACAATTAAACAAATCCTTTTGATTCATCTTGTGTTCTCTAAAAATGTAAATATGATAAAATCTAACATTGAAGATTTGGCTGGCGAAATTCACCAGGTTACAACACCCAAATTCTCACTCAAGTCCTTAGAGATAATATTGAAAGAACATAGTATTCCAACAAGTGAAATAAACATGTTTACCATGAATGGGTTCAACCAGGTAATTAATTTAGAAGAGAAGAAATATACAAAGATGATGAAAATTGGCGTATTTTACGTAACAGCCTTAGGACTTGCAGAAATAGCAGCAGGAGTATGCTTAGAGGTGATGGGTTCTCCTTTTGGACTTATACTATTAGCCCAAGGTATCGATGATATAATTTTTGCTTCAGGTTGTTTTTTTTCTGGTCATTTCTCATGGAAAGATTATCGCTCACAGAAGATCGTAAGTCTTGTCACTTCAGCTATTTCATGCTATGCTTTAGTCAGATCCGCATTTGCTAAAAAAACTGTGGGAATGTCAGCAGGGACAATGAAAGATAAATTGGTGCAAGGTTTATCAAAAGTGAAAAGCTCTGTTAAGAGTATTTTTAGTTCTGAAGGTATGAAACAAGTTGCTGAGACTGAAGTAACTGCTTTTGGAGTATGGAAACGAGTTTTGTTTTATTGTGCTGAAGGTGTCGCTCGTGGGGCTAAAGACCACCTGATGGTTCATATGCACTCCCAGATAGTAAGTCTAGGCACAGACTTATCCAAACAAGTGCATGAAGATATGGAACGTACTATTATTAATCACCAAGTTTTTGAAACTGCAACAGAACTGTGTAAAAAAGGGCAAACGACAAACATAATCAATGTTGTTAACAAGGTATGTCAGGATAATGAAATGAAGGTTAAGAAATCTTTGGAATCTATTCAACTAGGCAAGATTTTTATCTTAATTGAGAGATTTAGTTCTAAAACTTTTAAAAGGAAATCTTTTGATCTTGATAGCCTAGATGCTACTCTAAAGCTTTTACAAAATTTATTCAATTTTGTTAGAAGTTTAAAAATATACCTAACAGAAATATTAGGGTTAGTTACGAACGTCTTAAACGATATGCAGAGAGAATTAGTTAAATCATTAAACATGGCAAAAAATTATCGAGAGCAACAAGAAATTGGCCGACATGAATTAGACTCACTTCAACTTAAAGTCTTGGAGAAGATAAGCGGTGGCATAAATGGTGTGTTTGCCACACACATCACAACAAATATTGTATCACCAATCCTGAGGTGTGTTGAAACATGTGTAGAGAAAGGTATGTCCCAAGTCATAACCAAAGGGAGACGTTCTTACCTAACTGATAAAGAAATGGTGAAGTGGAATAGTTCTAAAAAAACATGTGTCAGTAAAAAAAGTAAGGCAAATGCTGTAACGAAACATAAACGTTTTTCACGTGAGTCCGATGAAATTACCTGTGAGTTGTTCAAAATGAGGCAGAACAGAAAAGCTCTTGCTTCAATGATACCACAAAATGCTGCAGTGAAAACTGATTGCTTGGACATATTTTGCAAAATAATTCCTGTTGCTCTAAAACAAGAACATTTGAGTGTTCCAGCTCTCAGTGTCGAAGTAGAAAATCATAACACAAAAAATGTTTATCATATTGGAGATGTAACAGATAAAACTCCAACAGTAAAATTCAATCCAAATGCTGACTTAAGTTCTAACTTGTGGAGTAACAGGATTTTACTTAAAGACTTTTTCATCTTTTTGAATAAATCTTTTATGAAACATTACCCTGAATACAGCCTTGTTGCACAAAAACTGCAGGAGATTGTTGTCAAGAAAATGGAAGAATATTTGAATAGACAGTCTGACACTCCGTTTGATGAAGATCAGTTTGTCAGTGAAGAAAGGATGCTGCAAGATTTGTTTTTCTTCGAAATCAATCAAATCAACACAGAATGTGAGAGAAAGAACCCTTATCAGCATGCCCAGTTTGGTGGCGGATGGACTTTCAGTCCATCTGTGGATGTTGATTTGCGAGAAAAAGAGAAGATCATAAATGTAGATAGTTTACAGAGTTACGTCAATAATGCATTTGAAAGAGCCTTAACAAAGGTAAATATGCATATTCACAGGATTCAAAGCAAATTGTCCTATTTTAACTTGGCTCTTGACGATTTTGCTATCACAAAACATCAGATAGCGCCTCCACCTCCTGATATGTCTGAAGTGTTGAACTGTTATGCAATCCAATATGAACTTGTCGTTCCAGTTTTGTTAGAAAATGTTAATAGACTTGTCGATTTTAACATTATACTTCATCTTGAAAATGTTAGGATGAAACACAAGTCAGAACTTAAATCCCCACTTGGACCACACATACGCTATGAAATCAACCCTGCTAGAGAAATGAAGTTCTTAAATAAAGGTTTAAAGGGGCATATTCTTTTGCACAGTGATTGCATTGTTAATAGCTATAGCTTAACAGACTGTCATGTGGCTGGGGAACTGATTGTGTCGTCAGCACTTCTACCACCTGTATCAATAGACGAATGTGAAAATTCAGTTGAGAAAGAGGCAAATGTTACAAGTGAAATGACTACGACATTTACATCACCAATAGCGAATAAACGTGAAACTTCAATTGAGAAAGAGGCCAATGTGACAAGTGAAATGACTATGACATTTACATCACCAATAGCAAATAAACGTGAAACTTCAATTGAGAAAGAGGCCAATGTGACAGTTGAAATGGCTATGACATCTCCATCACCATCAGTAGCAAATGAAAGTGGAATCGTAAGTAACAGAGGTGCACCAAACACATGTGATGCTGTAATAATTGGAGATTCTTTATTCAAATATATAGAGCAATATGTTAAACTGCCAAAATGTGATTTTAAGATTTGTCCGTATATTGAAGCTCACCGCTTTGTGGAGGAAATCATCCCTTTTATAAAAAATTACCAAAGTCTTAAATGTGTCGTAATTTTTCTGGGTAATGACGCAGTGAAAGATACATCCGAGCACCAGTCACCAGAACCAGTTGTCACTTGTTTAGATGATTTGGTTCATCTTCTGCAAAAGAATATCAGAAATACAGAAATTATTGTCTGCACCATGACCTTTGTGAAACAACCAGCTGATAGGTTTTTTCAGAAAATTAGTGAAGCAAACAGAATGTTAATAGATTTCTGTGAACAGAAAAATGTTGTACTATTTGATTCCAACAAAATCATATGTCCTCGGGATTTGTTACGAGATGGAATCCACCTGAACAGGTCAGGCTATTACAAACTAGGCAAGCATATCTCCGAGTTATGTTTGGAAATTATCAATTCTAAATAACTCACTGAAGGAGACAAAGCTCACTCATCTATTTTGGCACAACATGGCAATTAGAACACTCCATACCTTTATCATTTGGATTGCAACCAATAACCGACTCATGAGTAATTTTTTAAAGCATCTAAAAATTAAAAAGACAATATTTACTTTAAGACTGTGAACATAAAAAATCTGGATAATATTTAAATTAACTATCTCAGAGCCGGTTTCTCCAAAGTGGTTTAAACTTTAGAAACAGTTTAATTGGCTGATAGGTTTTTTTCCATTGTTCTTTGGAAGTTTAACCTGAAGCAAAAGTTAAACCATAATTACCAGCTGGTTTAAACCGCATAGTAAGGTTTAACTCACTCTGTCTGCACTAAAATACAACATAACCCCAAATTCCACTGTTGAGCATTGACTAAATACAGTATAATGATCTATTAAAGAGGTTTTAACTAATATTGTCATATATTACATATGAGTAGATTCTGGTGTTGTATTTATTTATTTCTTGGATTCATTTTACCTATTTATTTTCAATTTATCATTAAATTTTAAGGTAGAACTTAGTAATAATAAGTAATAAGTATATTAATGCAGTCGTCTTCGTCATCAGACTGAATTTTAAGTACCGATCTTCATTTAAGCTCGAGAACCTATCCATTCCATTCCATTCAATCCAAGAACAACTTTTCTCCGTTACTTTTGAAAAATAACTGTTATTATAACCAGGCATTGACTCATAGCCTCTAAAGGAAACTTTTCTATAGACTTTCCCACACCATAAAACACTATGTGGTGTCGTATCCACTTATTTCTTTTGTAAATAATATGCCACCTTGGATTTCATTTATAGATTGTATACCAGTCGTCCGTACTTAAATGATAGGGTTATTCTGTCCAACTTTTGGTTTACACATTACACAATTACAATAGTTTAACCTAACTAGCAGTGCCTCTCACTAGTCTCACTATTGCTAAGAAAATAAATAACAAAACCTCTAAATTTGCATTAGCCAGATGAAATAAATGCGAAAATACTAGATCAGGGCAGCCAACAATCTTTTTCCATGGTTTAACTTAAACTTCAGGCCAAAATGTATAGAGAAATTGATTGATGGTTTAACTTTAAACCCATTTAAGTTAAACGCTACTTGGAGAAACCGGGCCTTAGACAATAATCTGTTAAAATTTAATAATCATTCACTTCAAGTACCGTATATCAATTTATATTTTTGTCAGTGCCTTATTCAAATGTTTACCACATTTGACTTTGTATATATAGTAAGTAGGTAGACAATATAATACATTTTCAAACATATTTTGTACGTCAATTGTTTTTGCGATTAAATTTATTTTGTTATATAATGTATAGCTAGCATGGTAAAAGATATTCATTTATGTTTTTGTAAGTGCCTTATTTAAATGCTTACCACATTTGACTTGTACAGTAGTAAGACAAGGTACAAGTTTGTGATCAGATAAGTTAGTGATTTTTTGTTCTTAATTTGTTTGTACAATGAATTAAAAATCTTCTATAATGTATAGCTAATCTGCTTGAATAACGGAAGATGAGCAACTGAAGAAACGCTTTGAAAAAAGAATTTGCATTTATACAAAGTATTTTAATAAACATTTAACATTTTTCTAAGTTTCAAAGATTGTTTGATTCTTTTCTAGACCTGTTTCAGGCCAGTATTGACTTATTCTGCAGCCTCATTCAACAAACTGTTCAACAAACAAAATGCAGTTTAGCAGGATCATTGTAAAAACCATAGCTACCAAGGTCTATAAACACTTGCAAAGTGAATTTTGTCAGTACGCCATGAATCTCTTCAATTCTCATAAATGAGGCATCATTCTATTTTGAAGATTTTTTACCACTACACCAGAAAAAAAAATTACTCAAAAAAACTAGGGGTGACTTGTACGATTTTGCACGAAAAAGATTCTGTCTGCTTGTATGAATGATTATATTCAGCTGAAATTTACTGCTTAGTACCATAGACAAATAGAATATAATATAGACTGTCAAAGGAAGGTTCGAAAATACAAATATTTTAAATACAATGATTCCAAAATTGAATAATCCAATATATGAAACAATAACAAAATTGAGAAAATATTAATGAAAATAAGTACAACACATCATAAATTAATCAATGAAAACAAAATTATGTTACAAGTTAGAAATTTGAAAATGGCCTTAGAGCCGAAACTATAGTCAGTAAATATTTTAATAAATAATTATTTTACTTGGGTACTAAGTTTATTAATGTTTAATCTTTTTATATATATATACGTCCGTGAACTTGAGTAATTTTTGTCCGATTTTGATGAAATTTAGTTTAAAGGTGTAAAGCGGGATAAACTTGAATGAGTTCGCGAACCAGCACGATCGGACCATGGGAACGGGGGTTTTATGGGGTAAAAATTGGTTTTTCTCACTTTTGACCCTCAAAACACAAAATTTCCCGATTTCTCTTTAGACCTTTTTAAAGAGCTTAAAAAAACAAATAATTTTGTATGTAAAAGTATTTTTGTTTGATTGTTAGTAACGGAGAAAATTAAAAAAAATTGTAAATTTAAAATTCCCATGTTATTCTTATGGATAATATTGTCAAATGTTGTACTTTGCTTGTTTATGGATATATTTTGATCAAACTTGGCAAATTTATTTATTTTGTACTAAGCTATCAATATTTTACTCAAAAACACACTTTATTAGTTTCCTTGTAGCAGCAAACCTAGGTACTCGTTAAACCTAATGTTATTAAAATATATTAAACTGAAAATCAATTCAGACAAATGGAAATTCACTTAGTCGGCAGGTTTGCTGTGGCGGGGGTATTTTGATTTTTTTTTGTTTTTTTAATGTACTGGCGGCCACTTTTCTTGAAGAGGGTATTAAAAAGCTGGTGCAGAGATAAAGCAAATGTCTCAATCTCTTTGGTGATTATGTCAAAAAGTAACCATAAATGGACCAAACTTTTTGTAAATGTTTTATATGAACTTGTCTTTTGTTTATAGCCTATCGGAACTTGAAAAAAAAACAACCCTCGTATTTAATGTTTACTACAAATACCGGGATTTATCTTTGTTATATATTTTCTTATTGTCTTATTATTCAAAATTAGCCTAATTAATAAAATAGTGACAACATTACAGTTAAAATTCAACAACAGGTAATGGAATTGAAAGGCAAACAAAAGAGTCTTACGAAATACGAATTATTGGCCTAGCACTGAAAGGGTTAATACTTATGAAGTCAAACGAGGTGAAGCCCATGGGTAACAGCTAGTATTTGTAACAGTCTTTACTTTGGACTTGCATTCAATTTTCATTAGTTATATTTATCTCTTGTCTTATAATGCATTTATCAATAATGCATTTTATACTTTGAATGACTTTTTTAACAGTAGTGCTAAGTTAGTTTGAGCTTTGAGATGACATTGTACTTACTCATCATTAATTTATGACTATTCTCTATGTACATATTCGTATATTTATGGAGAAATAAAACTCTTTCGTTCTTTCTTTTCTTGAGTTAACATCTTGAAGTTGTCAGGTGTAAGACCTGACTTTAAGGCTATCACTTTCTCACTCTAGTAGGAGATCACTTTCTTTAAGGCTTAAAAAAAAACTTCATCAGGGAACTGCAATTGCTGAGCACAATCATTGCTAATAACTGAACCTATACATACATAGTAAACCTTTTCTTAACCCTAATACCTTTTTGAGTACCTTATTGTTTATTTCGGAATGATACTTGATTAGTGGACTATGAACAGCGCTTTTGCAGATGTCTTTGTTATTATTGTTTTGAGTTTCTCTTGATGATCCAGTCCTAAAATAATAAAAATAACACAGATGCTGATTATTTGCAGCTACTGGATTGGATGTCATTGACTAAGGTCTACAGGAAGGAAGCAAAATCTTTTATAAATTATAGCGTAATAAAATTCCGCGTTAGATCATCTCCCACGTACGTCAATTACGTGGCACAACCAAGTGAAAATATAACAATTGGCGATATGTGGAAGATTGCATAGGTCATTATCAAATCCTTTAAACATAGGTACCTACAGTGTCCTGCTTTTCTTAGTCACCAAGATTCAAGTTCAGTTCTCAGTTTTCCCGGGTTGGATAGACCCCCAAATACCATACAAATTTTCTTCAAAAAGATTTTATTTCCTTTTCAATTTCTCTATCTATTTGTCACACTGTCTTAGCGAGTAAGATTTCTTAAGTTTAAAAAGAAAATTTAAGAGAGGTATTCCGATTCTCATCTTTAAAAACCAAACAAATCGTATGTTGACTTTTAACTTTTCACTCATATTTGTGTTAAAATACGCCAAGTTGCAATTTATGTTTTAAAAGCAGTTAAATTTGGTTGTAGTGTAAATGCAAATGAAACAGCTTGGTGATCTGAATTTTAAATATGAAAATTACACAATCAAATAAACAAGTCTTTTTATACGTTTCTTTAGGGTTTTATGGCTTAAACCGAGCCAGTTTGCAAATCTGCACACAGACAGTTTTTTGATGGGGTAAGTCTTAAAACAAACAAGCCTAATAGGGGATCAACTTTTCATGTAGCGTATTAAACATAAAGATAGATATCTCATTTTGCATTTAATTTCTACTTAAAATATTAAGTTAATATTCCATAAGATGATTTGTTTATAGAGCTTAGACGATATAAAAAGCATATAGGGAGCGATTACACCCTATAAAATTATTATGAAGTTGCTAGTAGTAGCCTTGATCCCATCATCTGATAAATACGAGTATTGTACAAAAATGTACTAAATGAAGGAAGAGACAAAACTACAATGAATAATTTATAAGTAATTTAATTAACAAATATATATATATACACAAGGGATGTACATTGTACACAGTAGAAATCAGATGATAGTTTTACAAATTACAAAATTAGGTGCAATGACATACACTGAACACCAACTGGAACTAACACCTTTGTTAAAGTAATGAAATTGTGAATACAACACTTTTGTTCCCTATTACTATTCTATGTAGTTGACATCTATATTTTACTATGTATTTAAAACCTAACTATAGTAGGATAAAATATCTGAAAACCTTCTTAAGGGTCGCACCATTCGCATACTATGTGCTTCAGTTTTGTAAAAAAAAAATAACATAAGCGTTTTATATACACAACTTAAGATAAATAATTTAATTGTATACGTTCAACGGTATCTTATTTTAAATCATAACTAAGCCAAAACCACAGCCTTTTCCTGTAAGAGCTGAAACAATTCATACTTGAAGGTGAATGTGTCATGATATTTATATTTCTTATCTGAAACAAACATAAGATATCACTGTTATTACAATAAAATTAATTAATACAATACAAATCTTGACATAGTGAGGAATTTATTTCTCCTAGTTGAGAAGACTACTTTAAGGTTATCTTTGGGCCAGTAGTACAGTCCGAACACTTGTAATGACGGCAAGACTGAAAATGTTTAGGCAGACTGATAAATTTTATATTTTTCAAAGTTGAACCATATCTTATCCTAACTGATATCACCATGTTTCCTACGCGTCAGAGTTGATTTTAGGTAAGGTAGGACTAATCAATTTTTTTTTCTTACTGACGTCTTTTAATAAAAGATTTGAGATATTCTTGCTTATTTATTATTATTTTTGTATTTAACTAGTCATCTGTTATAAACTAGTAGGTATTTAATAATGTTACAGAATCAGTTTAAATAGTCGAACGTGCATTTCCTGTTATGTATATGAACAAGAAGAGAAATCCCGTCTCGTCTCGTCTCAAACTAAAAATCCAATCTCATCCATCCCTATATTGTAGCCATTATAAAAGGCTTGTAGTTCATTGGAACAGGTTCATGAATGTCCTGGGGGGATTATGTTGTAAAGTAGGAAACATGGTTTTTATGAAAATAATGATTTAATCTCTGAAAAAATGTTTCTCCAACTATTCAATAAATACCTTAAGATTCACTGGATCCTGAAGGTTTATCATCGGTTATTTCTGTTATTACAACACCGGGTTTCGGTTGTCTAGATGGTTGTCTAGATTCTTGATAGTCTGAAAAACAACAATGAACATTATGAAAAAGTGAAGAACAAGTAATGAATAAACAGTGTTCACACCAAGGAAAATATGTCCATACAGAGTTCAACTTGATCAAATGAATAGAACACATTTGTTGAGTTTGCATTGGCACACACAGAATTTTTCAGTATGTTGTCTAATTTCATCAGAAATCTGTGAGGTCAATCAAGTAGTGCTCTATACTCAATTCCATGTCCACTGTGCAGTACATTTCTTAAAGGTTGTCATGTTTTCATAATGGAACAGTGTGTTTTATCATGCAGATTGTGTCAACTCTCTGAACCTCATGAAGGCACTAAAGTATATGTTGCTTAATAATGTAATTGTTCTTTTTATAGATTGGTATTTTGAATTCAAGATTTCAATTTCATTTTGATGTTATCCTAATCAGTATATTATTAAGTGTAATAAAAATAGTAAGGAACATTAGATGGTTCCTGATGTTTTTAGGATGACTAGTGTTGCTGGGTCTACAATTTGAAATACATGGCTACTGCACACAGTGATTGTGGATAGATAGATGCATAAACTTCTTGGTGACTTGTATGGTAGAAGTAGATACTTTGTTGTTAAAGCTTTAGCCAGTTTTAGAATAAATATTAACGTAGTTTAACTGAGCTAACATCAGAGTGCGCTTTTGTCAATTACCAATGTGGAATACACCAGCTTTTAAACAATGTCAAAATGATAGACAACTTTTTGTAAACTATAGCATCTTTTGCCACATCAATAATTGTCCTAACAAAAACTAGTGTGTATAATTATACAGGCTGTTTTTAAAAGAATGGCGGGATTTTAAATGATAATTGCTTGGGTACTATTCAAGGTAACTAAACGTTTTATACGTCAAATTGAAGCTTAAATAACTTAAGTTTTGTTTCCCTTGTAGCAAGGGAGGAAACTTTGTCCTTGGCATGCGCAAAACAGGTGCGCGGTGCTAGGCCGCTATTGCAACTCATACGCTTGACGCCAGTCGCCAGTACGACATTTAAGGCACAACAGAAGGCACAAATTTTAATCTGTGGTTCGCAGAGTATATCTCCATTGCTAAATTACACTAAATTTAAATCTACTTGATGATAAAGAAACATGAAGCTGGTTTAATGAGTTTTGGGGCACCATAGTGTTTTGAAAAGACATTCACCCGGCCAGCTAAAAACAAGCGATCACTTAGTCGAAGAAATCCGACAATTCTGCATCAGAAACCCGAAAAATTCCATTGCCCGACGAAGTTTTCAGCTGAACAAAACTAAGTTGGTCACTTTATGATGTTATCTGTAAATGATGTTATCTGTAAAAGATAGAGACTTTGTGCCTAAAAAGATTCAGTTAAGACATCAGATAAACCCGTCAACCGCCTTAAGCGTACATACTTTGCCAGTTTTACGCTCATATAAGATTGATGAAAATCTTAATTTTATTAAATCATTCCGAATCGTATCAAAATATGAGGAAAAAACTTTGTTCCTTTTCCTTCAATTTGACGTTTAAATTGTTAATTATCTTGAATAGTTCCCAAGAAATGACCGTTTAAAATCCCGGCATTCTTTTAAAAATACCCTGTATTTCAGTCTCTATAAGTAGCTTATTCAACTAAGGGAATAGTCAACGTACTTTGCTTCATCCTCTGCAGTTGAGCTCCTTGACTGAGCGTCTGAGCCAGGAGACCTTTGGATTGTTGGGATTTCTGTTGCTGTAACTGCTGCTGCAGTCTAGCCATGTTTGCCTGTTGCTGCATTCTACGACACAAAACATCCAATCGTGTACAATAATCATATTACACAACCCCATCTTGATAAGCCGACATTCTCCCAGCCACTTGCATGTCGGATTATCAATGGACAGCTGCATATGGGTCTATCAATCAGATATGTACAAATGTAAGTGAAACTGGCCATTTCAGATATTCTTCTAAATAGTAAAATGCCCTCTATAAATTTTTTTTCTTTGGATTTAGAGAAAGATGCATGTTCTTAATTTCAGCTGGCAATGACTTGCGTGTCTTTGGCCTTATATTAAGTGGAAATCAATAAAAATCTTCAGGTCTAAGATCTCTAGTTTTATAACTTATATTTTTTCTTAAACATTGTTGACCTTCCATTACTGTGTCAAAATCGTGTTTAAACATGAATGCCAATTTGTAAATAAAAGTTCTGAAAAATAAACGCTTTGAACTGAACGAAAAAATCTTTTATGATGGTTTTCAATTTTACCCCCCAAAAAACAGTTTTCTGTCCATAGGTAAATTATTTTATCTTTCAAAAAAAAAAAAAAATGTTTTGAGAAAAGCTGACAAACCGAAGATGTAAATCGGTCAATCCTAATGTTGACAACTTGGTGAAGAAAAATTTATACAATTAAAGTAGCCAAAAGAAAACATAAACTAAATAAATTTAATCAGTCCAAAAGTATTTATCACCAACCTGTAGACCTGATCTTGGAATTGTTGTGTGGAGGGTTTAGGAGCGATGTTTCGAAGGTTTCCTGTATTCTGCATCTGAGGAGCAATGGTACGCAGATACGGTGTTGTCTGCAACTGTGGTCTCTGGTTGAACCCTCCCATCATGTTGTTGCCGTACATTTGTGGTCGATATCCCATATTGCCCATGTTGTTAGCGGCTTGCATCTACAAGGGATCAAAGTCAGTAGTTAAGAAACACATAAAAAATATCCATAGTTTACTTATTCGTTAATTACTTTTTAACTTAAAACTTTTTAAATACATTGAAAGTAAAATAGTAGTTTACGCAACAATTGCGTAAAGATAGTGTTAACAACACGAGTAAAAACTTCTACCAGTGTCGTTAACACTATTTACGCGAGTTGCATAGGTACACTACTTTACCTATGACAGTGTTTCAATTACTAAAAATCACTACTCATAACATCTAAGAGAGGTTATGTTTTTGTTTATAACCTATCATTGCCATTGACAGTGATGCAACAAAACATTGTACCAAACACTAATTGCACCACTCGACAATTAAATTGGTCTGAACAGCTGGTTAGTTGAAGTTCGAATCATTACAACTTTACTTCTTCTCTCTCAATCCTTGAACCTCATTGGTCTGTTACCCGTGTTGTTATGAGTATTTAAAACTATACTTTTATGAAAGTAAAGAATGCTGTTATGTGAAACTTTTCAATTCTAAGAACTGAACTTGAAAAGGCTACTTGAAAAAACGGTCGTGGATAGAATTTGCAACGCAAGGAAGGATTGTATAAATTGGTTGAAAAGAGTCACTTCAAGCCTCATCCACACTGGCAGGTTGTTTGCAAACTGTATGTATACTACTTTTGCAGAGTTCCCACAAAAATAGTGAATTCCCAGACTTTCGCTGACCTTTCATGGCCGTTTTCTGTTAATTTCCCTGACCACGGTATATTTTTGGTATTGTCAGTTAATTTGCTTTTTTTTTGGCGAATTTGTTGACAAATGACATATGTTTTTAAAGCCGGTATGTTGTTTGAGTAATATATAAAATACTCAGAGTCGCCTTCAGCGGCGCTCGGCAATTTATGCGTATACACATTGCGTCGCTATGAGCGACGCTGCGGCATTTAAAGGGTTAAGTAGACACAAGGAAAAAACTATTCTACATACCATCTGCATTTGTTGTTGTTGCTGCTGCCTCATCAACAGAGACACCTGGTATACCAGTATCTGGTTGATTTCATCATCACTCTTATCTGCATACTGTAAAATACAAAAGATAAAATAGGTTATTTACAATTACATTACTTTGTAGCACTTAAGTCTGTAAGATAATTTTCTAAATGCAACTCTATCATTGAAAATCCATAAAATGAAGATCCATAACTACAAAATGTTCCTTGCAGTTTGAGTTGTATCGAAATATCTGCTTACAATTTACTCATACTTTTGATTTTTAAGACTTTATAATATCAAACTTTATCCTCAATTCATCAGCTAATGTTTAAGCTAAGTACCACTTTTGCAAGAAAGATTAACAAATGTAGTCATAACTAAAATAAGTAAACTCTTATTGATTTTAGGCGGAAAATGACCACAAAGTTATACCACTCCGCTTAAAATTCAGTTGCAAAATAGTTATTAGCTTAACTAGTAGGAAGTGACCGCCCCCCCGAAAAGTAAAGAAAACTAGTAGGTAAAAATGGCACTGTTTTTTTTTTTTTTTTAATGTGGTCCAATTCAACGTCCTTTTTGGTTCTAAACCTGGTGACAACTGTAAAATGAGATAGAATGTATAGTTCTATCAATAATCCAAAATTACACACAAGTTTAATCTAAGGTAAAAGTTCTTTGTACCTATTTGCATTGCAGGGCTGTTCTGTTTGTTTATCACCCTTATACATGCTGATAAACTCTCAAACAATTGGTTGCAGACTACAAAAAAAACCTTTTTCTACAGAAAAGTATTTATAGTACTCATATTTACCCTCAGTTTAAGCTGTTGCCGCATAAGCTCTATCTGCTGGTTCCACGCAGCACTCGGGTTCACTAAACAGACAAAAGCCAATCACATAGTGTTTTTAAAATCTTACTGTATAACTAAAGGTTGCAGACAAGTCGAAGAACAAAAATAAATAAATACCAACACAAAACACTTGATATTTCGCCACTTTCAGAGGCTTCTAAAAATAAGTTTAAAATAAAGTTTTAAAAAAATGGTCTGAAACTAAAATAATTTTAAAACTGTCGTTTTTGTAACTGCCTACTTCTGAAGAAGCCTCTGATAGAGGCAAAATATCAAGTTTTTTGTGTGTGTATTTATATTTTATGTGTTCTTTGACTCGTCTTCAACCTTTCATCAGGTGAGTTAGCTGTATCCTCTCCATCCTAAATCTTTCTTTAATCCAAGATAACTGTTTTTTCCTAAAAACATAACCTTAATAAAGAAAATAGTCACACTACATCTATTTTTTTAACACTATAATGTTAGAAATTGGTTTTCATTTTTATGAATGTCAAATGAAATGTAGAATCAGCTGAATACTTAAATGTAACAAATCTAATGTTTATGCATCAACTCACCCGAAGGACCCTGTGGCCCGGCTGGTGGCATGAAGCCTCTCTTCTTGTCGTTCTCATAGTCTTCCCATGCAGCCTTGCGCTCCTCCTCGTTAAGTTCTTCTTCAACGACGTTCTCCAGCAAAGAGTCATGTTCATGGTATTTCTCTATCCACTTTTTCATCTGTTCAGCAGAAGAAACATTATATTTATATCCCACTTTAAAACAAAAAACAAAACAGACTTATGTGCACAATATTAAATTCTTCATCAACCCCCAATGTTACCCAACATATTTCCTGTCCTCATTATTTGAGTACAATTCCTGGTTTTCTGGATAGCTGGATATCCTGTGACACACACACACTGTAATTTGAAAGTAAGGGGCAGAGGGAAGAGGGGTGAGACTTGAAGAAGAGAGGGGAAATATACTTACAATAAGGCCACATTCCAATGGAATAGAAACGTACCAATGTAGCTTAATGTTCTGGTCAAAATTTGAACATCATTGGAATAAGAGCAGTATTGGTAGAACGTCATTTTACCGAGAGTGACATTAGTACGAGAACAACATCGGAATAAAAATGACACCGGTACAAGAATGACATTGGTACGAGAATATTGTTGGAACAAGAAAGACAACAGTACAAGAACGATATCTTTATGAGGACAACATCGGAAAGAGGGACATTTAGTTCAAAATGGAGGAACCGTTCTGAATGGTTCTAGGGTTGCAATGGAAGGTTTTTGACGTTGTACTTCTTTTGGCACAACTCTTTACCTGTGAAAGGATTTCCGTCATGAGTGGGTCACGCGGCAAAGCGGGGGTAGGTCTGTCCTCTAACTTGGAGGCGGGGGTGAAGGTATAAAGCTCTGTCAGGTCGTTCATAGAGAAGTGTCTGTGGACTTGCTGCTCGTCCACCACTCTGTTGGAGATGGACTGCTTCGCTACTTGTCGTTCATATACCTTCTCTTCCATCGTACCCTGCAATTGCAACATAGAATTAGAATAAATAGGGTCTTAACTACTTAAGGGGTGCTTAATACGTGCTGCACACATTTTTTTTATTAGCAAATGTCACATTATGTTCATGATTGATCATGTTGGGGTTATGTATTTGATACATTTTTAGGAAAAGAGTAGAGTGGAGATTGTGCTATAGAATCTTGCTGCCAGTTTATCAGTCACAACAAAAGTGATGTTTATTGTAAATTTGAATCGACTGCCATAAAATTAGTATACAGTAGAACCTCTTTAATCCGAACTAATTGGGACCAGGGGTAGTTCGGACTAGTGAATAGTTCGGATTACAGAATATATTGTTGTTTTTACATAACAATAGCTAAAACATGGCTAAAATTAATCTAAATTATTTTGGGAAAAGTGAAAAAAATGTTTTATAAATTAAAATACAATGTTTATTTAATACAGTAGTAAACATGGTGAATAAACAGTACTGTACATTAAATACAGTATACAATAAAGAACTGCTGTACTGTGTATGGAGTACAGCAATGAGGGGTTCGGATTAGTGGACGTTCGGATTACGGGGTTCGGATTAAAGAGGTTCTACTGTACCACAGCTTCACGGCTCCATTTGGTTTTATGTAGCCCCACTGTGAACCATACAACAATTGTACTAGTACTTCACTAAAGTCAGTATTTTCAATTGATATGTTGTATTTTAACACCTCACTGCTCACACAGGGGCTATATGCTGGACACTTATAGACTATTGGAAATGAAATTGTTTTGCCAAGATGACGGTTTGTCTAGTTAGAAATTACTCGTAAACTCTCCGAACAACCTGCTAGAAGCCATGGTTATATACACTCAGAAATAAATAATTGGAGTTTATGTTAAAGAGAAACTTATACTTACGTAAGCCACAAATCTGTATACATAGCATGGTTTCTTCTGACCGAACCGGTAAATTCTGAAGATACTCTGAATGTCGTGGGAGGGGTTCCACGATGCATCAAAGATGATCACCCGGTTAGCAGCTGTGAGGTTAATCCCTAGACCACCAGCTCGGGTGGAAATTAGGAACAATCTCGCTCTGTGAAAAATGAAATCTGAAATGTTAGTACCAGAGAAAATCCTTGCTTCCAGTTAGATCAATACAGGAAGATGATCTGTAAAACTAATGCTAACAGAAACAGGACAACAAGTTTGACAAAGAACTTGCACTTAGCAATAGATAAACTTAATCTTAAGGGTCCTGTAAAAAATACTTTTTATGATAGTTGACACTGGAACAGTAATTGTTCAATGGTGCAAGGATACGTAAAACTGATGGAATATCATAAGAAGTTTAACTAGTGAAAACACCATTTTGCAGATATAAATTAGAACTAATAAACCCTGTCCTAAAAAAAAACTTAAATATATACGGTCCACTAGTTTAAGAGAAATTTGGTTATAAATCACTAATTACCAACCTCGGGTTATCTTCCCTATTGAAGGCCTTGCACCAGATGTTCCGGTTTTCCGAGGATGTTGACCCATCTAGCCTGAAATAGTCGAGACCTTTGCTCCAATTGCCTTGGTGGTTGTCTAGGTTCTCGTCTAAACGCCCCTCTTGTGTAGCACAGTCAATTTTGTCCAGGAAATACTCAATCAGATCCAATGAGAACAGAGACTGGCTGAAAACCAACCTAAAAAAATACATTAAGACATGAGTTGAATTTATACTTTTTTGTTGAATTAGTTTAGAATTTAGAAACATTTGCTATTATTGAAGTGGTCTATTATAACTTTTAAATGTTTAATGAATAAAAACAATCTTGAATGATAGCGCAGTATGTAATGCCGATTACAATAAGTAGAATGTACTTATTGTATGTATATTGTACTTATTATGTATATTGTCCGAATGTACATAAATCTTTCTTTTGTGTAAGATTCGTTTTTGAAGTATTTTGAAGTTTTGAGATGTTGCAAGCTTTGATAATGCAATAAAACTAGACCGCATTTTGTTGATTAAAAATTCTGGACCACAGATGGAGATGAGATCCAAGTGGCAATGAAGAGATAAATGACAACTCACACTTTGTCCTCAATCATTTCACACTCCTTGAGTATTGCAAAGAGCAGCAACAGTTTCCCGCTCTGCCGCATGTCCTCAAAGTGTTGCGGCTCTACAAAGCTGCCCCACCAGTCTCCATGGTTGGCGTTCTCCACTACATCCTCTCCATCTTGCTTTTCCTCGTCTGATGACTCCAATAGAGCAACTATAAAAACATTCAATTTACATTTTACTACATAATCTCCTCTTCCACACATCACACTCCTCTTCAGTGAATTAATACAAGGTCTTGTAATATTTCATGTAATTTCATTCATTATTTAGTATTAAGTTTCTTAAAATGTTAACTTCTATTCCTACACCTTTGTTAATAATCACTCCTCAGAAAGTCTGGCCTAATATTCATTTCCCTAATTTATATAATTTCATTAATCTGTTTAATTAATCATTAATAATATTCATTCCATAGCCTATATTTTTTTTTTACAAAGCCCACAACCTAATTATTTATTAAATATGTAAGAGAATTGCAATACATCAAAATTTTGTAACGGGTCAAATGGGAAGGGGGGTAAAAACGATTTAAACCACGATATTTAAACGGCTAATTATAAGCTGTTGAGTAGGCCTAGTCGTGGCACTAACGTAACCGTTGCAACTTAACCTCAACGTCGTTACCTAACCTCGAAACGAAACCGAGGTGACAGACACACCAGCAGACGACTGGGAGAGAGGAAGTAAAAACCGCCGCACTGTTTTTCGGGGAGCGTCGTCTGCTCCAGTTTTACTTCTCCGCCTTACTTCTTTATCTTCCTTCCCATTTTACTTCTTCTTGCTCTAGTTCTTCTTACGCCTTCCCTCAAGCATCAAGCTTCGTTTTTTGGGTTTTTTTTGGTAACCTCTGACCAATCAGAGGTGAGCGTGAGGGGGTTGAGGGGATTGTCGAGGGGTAAGAAGAAGGTCGTCATTCTAACTCTGACCGGCTTCGCTTCGAGTTAAGATATTCGTTCGTTCGTCTTTCGTGCATTCAAAGTAGTGTTCGTGTGCGAGTTTTCGTTAAAAGTTATTGTTAAGCATCGTTTGGATATTCGACTGGTGAGTGTTACAATAATACTCAACTGGCGTTATTGGGGTTAGTCCTCAAATACTGATAAATCCGATATTCTGCCTGACCACTCCGCCATAGTTTTACGGTTTAACCAACTCCTGTTTTCTTTACTTTTATAGTTGGTGACATACAATTTTTAACTAAAGTTCATCGTCCGTATTGGGATTCTCCTTTTTAGGTCTTTAACCTTTCTTTAAAAGTAATCTCACGTCCCGAAGTTCGTCCCAGCAGACAGGTCTCTGCTGGACCAAGTTTGTCTAGGTTTGCTTAAGTCGACCACGTGAGGAAGCAGAAGTTTTAACTTTTCGTTTTTTGGCTCAAGGTGCAGTTTCACTTTTTAGTTTCGTTTTTTTGTTCGTTCCTCACCTGGACCACTTAGGCTAATTTGTTTTCTTTTCATTTAGTAATTACGGACTCTGTGGGAGTTAGGCTAGGTTAGGCCTATCTTGTACTAACCTTGTTTGTTGCAGGTTGACGACTTAACTCCGTAGGTAAGCGGGGTGACTACTTAGCTTACTTGTTGACTCGTTAAGTTAGCTAGTGTAATTTAGATATTTGCCCACAGAGTTAAGTTAAAATTATTAATTTTTCCCACAAGCCCCAGACTAGAGTGGTGATTTCGAGTTGGGTGTTTGGGTAACCCGCAACGTTCGTCTCGAGCTCTGACAACCAGGGCTATCAAATTTAGGCTATCCGAATCACTATCGACTCCTGGGAAACTCCCCGCGACCGGACTAGGGCGAATCCTGGGATCTCGTTTTTCTTACCGGTGGCGTAATTTCCCACTTGTCGCCCGCCAGGAAAATTACGTCACAATTTCTTATAATATCATTTCAAAATTAGTCCATAAGGAATCAAAATTCTAAGAAGCAGTGAAAGTGATCCCATGTGTTCAACAATGAATGATGTGAACATTGGGATTGAGAGAGAAGTAAGCCATTGGAGAAATTGAAACTGTTAGAAGAAGGAGTCAAAATTTTACCTAAATCAAATTCATTCATCAAGAAGACCAGTTTCAAGTTATATCATACTAACCTAAACCTCAAGAGGACTCAACTCCATCATTATCTTCATAATTAAGTATAACCTTTTCTTTAAACTCTTTTAAATTTTGTGCTAATTGGACTTACCTTTTGGACAACACCAAAATTAGATTTTTCATTGTTGGGATTGTGTAAGTTTAACACCTTAATTAGGCCTATATTTGGACACTATCAAATTTATTCATTCTTAGCATTCAAGCCAGCACGACACCCTACCCTGAGATATATCACATCTAAATTATTTCAACCTTCAAGTTATTATTCAAATTTATCTTTTATTTCAATTTAATTTCAACCCCACACACCATTGTCAATCCTTTCATTGTAACGTCAAGCCTTTTCTCATTGCATGTTAATTGTTCATTTGTTTAAATAAAACACCTTTTGTAATTCATATATTTGTTAACTTATTAACTTCAAACATTTATAGAATAGGCCTAACCTAAAATGGATATTATAAGGTGAGTTTACAGACTTAATTTACAAAACAGTTTAATCAGTGTACTTATCGGTGTTGGTAGCCAAAATAAAAATTTTGGTAAAAATATTGGTTTAATTTTGGTATTGTTAGCCTACATCTTTAACTATCATGAAGCAATTCGCCTAGTTGTTGCTGACAAAAGTTGTTTAAAGTATGTTTTGGATTACCAATATCCTACCACTCACCATTACTACTCTGCCGAGTGGACCGTGTAGACCTACTCCTATGAGTTGTTTTGTTCTTCTTTTTGCTACTAACTTCTTCTTCAGAGAAGTCGTCGCTGCTTTCTTCAGTTGTAGTGGATTTTTCAGAGTCATCATCAATGAATTCCCTCAGCGATCCTTCAGAGTCTGATTCTTCCATCGCCTTGAATGGAATACAACTACATTAGAGTTTAATGTTTATTGGAATTTTTCAGAAACTACTTGCGGAGCTGAAGTAGCTTTTTTTCTATCAAGAGCAAAAAACTAATCAGCTGGAGTTGTGATCATCAGCTGTAATGTTTATACCTGTGATTTTTTGTCCTCTGAATCAGAGTAAGATTATAGTTACAATGAACAAATCTGTTATCAATTTTTGTGACATTGTAAAAAATGTATGGACCTTTTCCGTTAGTTCACCACCACTTGTTTTTAGAGCAATAGATTATTAGCAATAGCAATAGAAGTGGTAGTGAATTAAACTTTAGTTAGGTTAGTATAGAGTTGGAAAAACCTAACCTAACCTAACCACATTGCACTAGTGGTATTGAATTAACAGAAGAGGTCTACATTTATTTGTCTATATTTAAGTATTTCTTATACTTCACTAGACATAAACCTATTCATTGAAAGGATTTTAAGGAGTAAAATATGAACAGAAACAGCTGTTCGAATATACAAGCAAAAAAGAAGTAATCCAGTTTTAAAAAAAATTCAAGGTAAATAATGTACATAGTTTATGTTTTGTGATGTGGCTTGAGGAAGGGTGCTGTATGATGAAAAATATAGTTCATCACATGGGGAAAAAGTCTCTTTTCAACCTCCCCGACGACAGTGACGAAATGTATATACTACTCTTCCAACAAACCTTTTTCTCCTTGAGCCAGTTTGCTTTATCAGTGCTCATCTTGAGTACCCGAGGATGAGTCCACACTCTGCCTAGAGTCTGCCAATCCATGAACAGCCGAGTGCCTCCCTTCATACCTTCTGCTTTCTGGCTGCAACACAATGTAATTGCATTTTACTAAAGATTCTAAGGGGTCCCAGTGAAACCATTCTGAATAGTAGAGATGGACACTCGGACAGATCTGAACTAAAAATTCACAACATTTTTGAGAAAAATACGATCTTTAGGCCTCCATTTCATTCGGAAATTTCTCAGAACGGGATTTATAATTTTGCCACCTTTATTCACCAGAATATTTGCAAGAGATGTTCATGATTTCGACGGTATGACAGGTGACGATGATGATGTCCCTGTTACTCCAGCAGAAAATTGTGATCTATCGCAATCACAGATTAAATTCATAATGAGATTAGAACAGAGCAAAAATTACTGAATTTTTTCCATTAGCATATTGCCATTTGCAAAGTTTTTTACTCAAAAATGTTTAAAAACAAGCTTAAGATTTCTTTGTTGCAAAGGGAAAAATATCATACGAAAATTGTGGAAGGAAATAAATATCCCATCCTAAAACAAAAGTACAACCCCGTCCATAAAAATCCTGTCTTGAACCAAAAGTACAACCCTGACCCCTACTGAAAGGAGCTCTAGGCATTGAAAAGAGTATTTTTTCGAATGGGTAGCCTCTGGATTATCAAGATTAAATTAAAGTGGTTTAAATACCTGTAATGATAATCCAAGTGGTTGTGTAAAAGCTAGTTTCGGCTCACAATGGAGCCTTCTTCAGGTTTTCCCAAGGACATTGCCACTCCTTCCGAAGGTCTTCAAAGTTCACAAATATTTACATAACATAAATACCCCTGCCGCGGCAAACCTGCAGACTAAGCAAATTTCCATTTGCCTGATTGGATTTACACTAAAACGTCTCCTTAACAATATCACATTTATTCCCTATTTAAATAACATTAGTTTAACGAGTACTTAGGTTTGCTGCAACAGGGAGGGTAAAAAGGTGTTTTTTTTGTTTTTTAGCGAATTTCTTATATAGGTGTTCTGTATGTATTTAGAACAAATAATAAATGTATTTATCAAGGTACAATTTTAACCAACTTTATTCAACACATATTAAAAACAAAGTGAACATGTAAACATTATAACCAGCTGATAATAGTTATAGAATAAATTTAAGTAAATAAGTAAAGATAGACATTTAGGATGTAACACCTCCCCTTCTTAGTGAGTTTCATAAGTTAAGTCTATCGACGGGTTTATGTGTCCGTTTTGATCGTCTCACTGTCATAGCGGAAGCTGGTGCCACTGGAACATCTGACATGTTGTTACTGGTCTCTGGTGCCACTGGAACATCTGACATGTTGTTACTGGTCTCTGGTGCCACTGGAACATCTGACATGTTGTTACTGGTCTCTGGATCATCTGGTATGTTGGGATCATTGGCCTCTGGATTAATGTTGTGATAATTTGTTGCGTGGTTTTCGGTTGGTTCCTCTCTGACTTCTCCAAAATTTGTTGGTATGAATACTTGATTTTGCTCATTCCTTAATGAAAATTCACACAAGTCCCTCCCTGAGCGTCTAATTTGGTCTTGATGTCGTCTGATTGGGCCATTGCTTGTGGTTATTTCATAATTTCTTGGTCCTTCTTTTTTGTTGATCTTTCCAAACCCCCATTTGTTGCAGGTTCCATAGAGGCGGTAGGCGACAGGGTCTTGAGCTTTAAAGGACTTTTGCCTGTCACGGTCTTGAGCTTTAAAGGACTTTTGCCTGTCACGGTCTTGAGCTTTAAAGGACTTTTGCCTGTCACAGTCTGTGTCAAACTTCTGGTTCATTTTTTGTGACAAATCAGGATACAATAAGTCAAGTCTTGATCGAATTTGACGTCCAATAAAGAGATGTGAAGGAGATTGTCCTGTAGTACTATGTGGAGCTCTTCGATAGGCCATTAAATATCTCTGCAGTTTTATTTCGATAGAGCCTTCCTCAAAGTGCATGGCTCTGATGGTATCTTTCAAGTCTTGCACATAGCGTTCTACTTGACCATTAGTAGCAGGATGGTAAGGTGCTGATCTCTTGTGTCTAATTCCATTTGATTTAAGAAATTTTTCAAACTCTAATGAAACAAATTGCCTTCCGTTGTCTGACACTAATATGTCAGGGATTCCAAAGGAGCCGAAGAATTTACGCAAAGCCTCAATAGTTTTATGTGAATTTATGGTTGTAAGTGTTACAATTTCTGGCCATTTACTGTAGGCATCCACAATTAGGAGAAAATAATGGCCATAAAATGGTCCAGCAAAATCAACATGAATTCTTTGCATAGGCCTTGAAGGATATTCCCAATGGTGAACTGGTGCTTTGGGTGATTCATGCTGTACTCGTTGACATCCCAAACAGTTTAAGGTCATATTCTCAATGTCTGCATCAATTTTAGGCCACCAAACATACGAACGAGCTAGTCCCTTCATGCGAACTATACCCACATGAGCCTCATGAAGTTCTTTCAAAATTCTTGCACGAAGTTGTTTGGGAATCACGACACGATTCCCTTTTAATAAGCATCCAAGCTGAATTGACCATTCTTGTTCGTTAGAAGACATCGGGTGATGGATTGGCTCCCCTCTGATTAGTGATTGATAAATATCTCTAAGATCTGGATCAGATTGTGTATTTTTTGCTATTTCTTCAGCTGTGACAGGTAAAGTGTAGATTTGTTCTATTTCATGAACATCGGCTGAGTCAATAACAGCAGCTTCTTCAACATTTTTAGGTAGTCTTGAAAGTGCATCAGCATTAACATTGTCTTTGGTTGATTTATACTTTATGTCAAATGAAAATGCCTGAAGGAATATAGCATAATGTTGTAGTCTTGTTGCGGCCATAAGTGGTATTCCATTTTTCGGTCCAAATATAGATACCAGGGGTTTGTGGTCTGTAACTAGGGTGAAATGACGTCCATAAAGGTATTGGTAAAAGTGTTTAACTCCAAAATAAATTGCCAGGGCTTCTTTTTGTATGACACTGTACTGTTTTTGTGTTTGTGATAGTGTTTTGGAAGCAAATGCAACAGGTCTTTCGTTTCCATCCGGAAACACATGAGAAAGAATTGCCGAAATTCCAGATTGACTAGCATCTGTTGCTAGAATGAGTGGTAAGTGTGGGTCAAAATGGCATAGTATATTCTCTGACATCATTTCCTCCTTCACCAATTGAAAATCATGTTCACATTCTTCAGTCCAATTAAAAGGTACATTAGCTCTTGTGAGATTAATAATGGCTTGCATCTTTTCACTTAAGTTTGGAATAAACTTTCGATAGTAACTTATCAAACCAAGGATTTGTCTAACTTCTTTCACATTACTTGGTCTCTTCAGGTTTCTTATTGCTTCAGTAATATGTTTACTTTTACTTATTCCCTTTGACGAGACATGGTAACCAAGAAAGTCAATCTCTGGTACAAGGAATTGAGATTTAGAAACATTAATGTGTAAATCGTTGTCTTTGAACCGATTTAATACAGCACGGAGTCTTTTCAAATGTTCTTCATCACTGTGGGCTGTTATTTTGACATCGTCCAAGAAAACATCAACACCATCAATACCTTGTAGAATATTTTCCATTGCTGATTGCCAAATAGCAGGTGCACTTGCAATTCCGAATGGTAGACGATTTACTCGATATAGACCTTTATGTGTATTGATTGTGAGTAATTCTCTGTATTCTTCTTTCACTGGCATGTGTAGGTAAGCTTCAGATATATCAATCTTTGTAAATTTAGTCGAATTACCCATTCTGGCCAAAATATCATCAATGCGGGGCATGTTGTGTTCTGGTATTACCAAATGGGGATTGAGGGTTACTTTGTAGTCTCCACACAGTCTGATATTCCCATTTGCCTTCATAATCGGTACAACTGGAGTAGCCCAAGAACTCTGATTCACCTTTGTAATTATACCTTCTTTTTCTAGTCTGTCGATTTCTGCACTAACTTTTGGTAACAAAGCATAAGGTAGTGGTCTAGCTTTTTTAAAAACTGGTGTAGTGTCAGGCTTTAAGTTAAGAAGTGCTTCTCCCCCTTTGAAACGTCCAACTCTTGGTTCAAATATGGATTTAAATTCCATTAAAATATTGTGTACTTTGGGATTTGAGTGTTTAACTCTATCCAAGTCAGCTCCGTGAACGTTATGTATGTCTGACCAATTTATTTTAATGGATCTCAGCCATTCCCTACCAAATATCGTATCTCTATTACCATCGACTATATACAATGGAAGATATTTGGTTTGGTTACTGTAACCAACCTGAACAATGGTTTTACCCAATGGAACAAATTCATTTTTGTTGAAATCTCTTAAGATTATGTCTGGATTCATTAAAGGTCTGTGTTTAGGAAAAAACTTGGAAAAGTTACTTTTTGACATCAAAGATACTCCTGCTCCTGTATCTAGTTCAAACGGAATAGGTTTCCCATTTATTTTTATGTTTAACATAATTTTCCTAAATTTATCTTCTGAGGTATTCATAGAACAAATGTCAATAACATTAGTTTCCTTATAGAGGGATCCAACAGAATTGTTCATATTTTGTTGTAGAAATATTTCATTTTGATCTTCGAACGAGTCTGTTATTTGTTTTACATTTCTTGAAGTAGTGTTAAATGTAGTCTTATTTTGTCTTTGCAATTTGATAGGTGCATTAGGATTCCTAAAACAAATCTTTGCTAGATGCCCTATTTTTTTACAGAAGTTATATGTTGTATTTTTGTGTTTGCATTCAGATATGTATTCATGTAACTCTCCACAACGGTAACATTGTTTAATATTGGTACTGTTTTTAGGTTTTTGAAAACTTTTCTGTTGTACAACATTTAAGTTAACCGGCAATTCATTGTTTTCATGATTGAATTTTGATTGGATTGTTATTGAATCGTTTTGAGCCTTTTCATGAGCCATGTCTACAGCTTTTTCAAAACTCAAATCACTGTCACTTAGAGTAATTAATCTTGTCTGTATTTTTTCATCCCTTAGTCCGAGTATGAATTGATTTCTCAGGGCTTTTGACAGAAATGTGCCGAAATTACAATATCTAGACAACTTTCTAAGATCCAATGAAAATTCAGAAATGTTTTCTCCTTCATATTGATGTCTACAATGAAATTTGAATGTCTCTGATACTTCATTTGGTTTCGGTGTAAAATGTGAATTAAGAGTTTGAACTAATTCAGCATAGGATTTAGTTATAGGTGATACAGGATGCAATATATCCCTAAGTTTACTGTAAGTGTCTGATCCAATACAGTGAAGTAACGTAATTTTCTTTTTATCTTCCGAAATGTTGTTATAAATGAATGATATCTCTAGTCTTTCCATATACATTTCCCATGTTTCATATCTTTCATTGAAGGGCCCAATCAATGCTGAGTTAATCATTTGAATGTTTTGAGAGGTATTTGAATTACTTGTACTCACCTCCATCGTCGCCAAATTGTTCTGTATGTATTTAGAACAAATAATAAATGTATTTATCAAGGTACAATTTTAACCAACTTTATTCAACACATATTAAAAACAAAGTGAACATGTAAACATTATAACCAGCTGATAATAGTTATAGAATAAATTTAAGTAAATAAGTAAAGATAGACATTTAGGATGTAACAATAGGGAATAAGCTATTTTTTTTATGTAATAGTTTAGTATGAAATGAATGCATTTTCCAAATTTTATCAAAATATGTTCATAAACAAGCAAACTACAACAGTTTACTTATTCTCCATAAGAATAGCATGCAAATTTTCAATTTACAGATTTTTGGAATTTTCTCCGTAACCATTAGGCGCATAATAACGCTTCAATATACTAAATTATTAGTTTTTTTTAAGCTCTACAAAATGGTTTAGAAAGAAATTGCTAGATTTTAGGTTGACCCTAGATTAGTTATTAGGGTCAAAAATGGGAAAAACCAATTTTTACCCCATAATAACCCCCCATAAACCCCTGTTCCCATAGTCCGATCATGCTGGTTCGCGAACTCGTTTAAATAAACATAGGTTTACACGTTTGTACCAAATTTCATCAAAATCGGATGATTTTTGCTCGAGTTATCGCGCTAACGGACACAAATATATATATATGAATTTGAACGGATGGTGTTTTTGGTCTCTAGGGACCTCAAAACAAAAAAGTAAATGGGTCCCGGGTCCAGGTCTTACCATGAGTACTACGGTAATAGCTTATTCCCTATAGGGGAAATTCGCTAAAAACATTTAAAACACGTATCAGGCATGCCTAGGCCTAGCTTTAACGACGTGACCGGCGGTTTACGTCTCAAGAGTAAATATTTGTGAACTTTGACGACCTTCGGAAAAAGTGACAATGTCCTTGGGATAACCTGAAGAAGGCTCCATTGTGAGACGAAACTAGTTGTTACACAACCACTTGGATTATCAACATTACAGGTATTTAAACCACTTTAATTTTAAAAGAGTAATTAACTCTAGCCCTTTGGAAAAAACACCAAATAAAATTCTTATTTTACTAAATAAAATTACTTAAATGTGTAAAACATCAATAACAAACCTTGTCATCAATTTATATCCAACTCAGATACAAGTTTTTAATCTAAGATAAAATTGTATTTCAAATAGTTTTAGCAGCTTCTGAACGGCAACTAATGTGTCTCGAACATCAATCTGAACAAAAAACTTGGGTTATGCTGAACACGATTATTTACAAAACCCAACAAATGTTGTATTCAAAACCCATCTAGTTTTAATATAAGTATGAGGTCTATTTAAACAATGTGACATTGTGAACATTAAAACAAACCATACTTGGATCTGAGATTTGATAGCCGATTATAAAAGAATCAAAATCAATTTCCATTATATCATTTTTTTATTTAACTATTTCTAATAAATTAAATAAATAGCCTAATTTAATTAAAAATACTAGTTTTTCATGGCCAATATAAATTGAACCTTACTTTGAAGCTTCCTTTAAAATAGGAATTTAACACTACTAATAAAGCCGAACAATAATATAATAAATCTTACCTTTCATTTTCTAAGTAGTAAGAGTAGAGTTTTTCCTGTAGCTCAGACAAGCAAACGGATATTACATATTCTTGTTTGGGTGGCAGGAATGGTGTTAAGACATTGTAGTCAAACCTCTGCAAAATAGAGAGGGAAATATATTAAAAAATGTAAACATTGAATTAACAAAAAATCAACAACCACTGTTGTTTATGCTTAAGTTAACAAAAATCATTTACTTAAGAACAATATTAAAACATTTTCTTTATTCTAATGGCGGTATTAAAGCCTTTCTATTACCGATAAAAATGTAAAGAATTTTTGGTTAGTCTTATTGAAAGCTGGCAAATATAGTTCTGCACAAGTACTGGCGGAGAGGCATGAAAGGACTTATGGGGAACTCAAAATCGGCTTCAAGGCCTATGTTGTGGGGCCTTATAGTATAGGTATTGACTGGCTATGTCATTCCTTGGTTTCTGCAATGTTATCATAGTTTTGAGGAATCTAGAAGCGAGGGTTTCTATTTTTAAAGTTGAACAGCCTAAACTAATGGATCTTTCAAAGTTTTAGGATTTTCATGGTTAATTGGGATACCTTTAGACGTGAAATTAATTTCAAATTAAAAAAATAAACCATAACTAGTATTCAATACTTTATACTTAAATCACTATTCACATTGAAAATATATACAGTATTGGAAATGACTCCATCACCTGGACTAAGCCCTCTAACATCTTGTGCAGTACGTGTGCTCTGCGCTTCATCAGTTTAACATCATGATCTGTGGAGTCAACAAACTGTCCGTTGTTGATCGGGTTGACGAATCGGTTGAGAAACTCTTTGGAGGTACCCAACAAGTTGGGCTTGACGAACTGAACCATGCAATGATCTGTAAAACGACACCATCAATATGTAGTCAACATTTTATTCAAATACAACATACAGTAGAACCTCAAAAGTTAATCAGATCAATAGGGGGAGGAAGGCCATCCACTATTAATACAACATAGAATGTAAATAAATATACAACAAACCCATGAAAAACACTGTAATAGTGTGTTTTTTTAAGGTGAGTTGGTAGCGTGAGGGACTTCAGATTAGAAAATATTGTTTAGTATATTTTAATTAGTGTTTGAAAAGTAGTGAACGGGTGATGTTGCAACTTCGGGCTAGTCCAGTCTTGGTATTGGCTGCGCAGCCAACTGCAGACTCTCGTGGCCCCCAGTATAGGTTATTTATTTACTAGTTAAAATCAATGCACTTTCATAGCAAACAATTGATTGATTTATCACGTTTTATACGTAAAAAAAAATATTGTCATTAGTTGGTAGACCATCTCAACAGATGCACCACCTTTTTTGGCTTCAATTTTTACATTACATGGGAAGTCTATTCTGTGTATTGTCAATGGTTCTACTGTTGTTGGATAAACCACATGTTTATATCTAACAATTGTCAAAGACCATACATACACTTTTTTATCTAAAAAAGGCATTTCAGTGAAGTTTTTATAAAAATACCATTCTTTGAGGTAAATGTGGAAGACTCTTATAGGGCACGAAAGCATGGGATTTTACAGGCCTATGGAAAACTATTTTTCCAATCAAATGATTCTGAAAAAAAAACAAAAAAAAACGTAAGAACCATTAAATTACCTACATGTTTAGATAAAACAATTTAGTTTATTTAACTGGATTTTTTTATAACAATTATCAATTATCAATAATTTAAGATGGGGACGCAACTGTGTGCGTATTTTAACCCAAATATGGGTGTAGGATGAGTGGCGCGATCTTGTAGTCTTGTTAGTAACTAAGGCCGACATGTTCCTTAGACACAGCTGTTAATTAATAAACCATACAGCTAATGGTAACATCCAATTAATCAACATGGCAAGGAAGATAATAATGCATTAATACAGTAGTTAACCCTCCAAAGGTATATAATTATATGCTATTAGGCTACATAAAATAACAATTTAAGCAAAATAAGAAAATAAAATTAAAATTAAAGCACTAAAACCACATAGGACAGAGGTTAGAAATAAGTCAAAGAAGGATGAATTTAAGATAGTGTAATTTAAGGAAAACAAATATTTGTTGAAAAAAATCTTTTTAGTAGTTATAGGTAAATTGCTTAACACGTTCAAGAACTAAACCAAGAAAATAATATTGGATGAAACAAAAAAGGTAATAAATGGAAAGTCTTTTATAAGAAAATATATTTAGTAAGTAACTTTTTCACTGAGTACTGTGCTATCATACTATGATACCTTGCACTCTTCTGGAAATGAATATCAGGTAGACTATTCCAAAATAAGTTTGTATGGTTTCTTAATCCAGCGAAAAATACTCTGAACGAAATATGCTGCAGAACTTACATTCCTTCAAGTTATTTTGCATCGGGGTTCCAGTTAGGACAATTCTACGAAGAGTTTTAACCCTTGTCATGGCCTTTGAAAGAGCAGTCGCTTCATTCTTCAACATGTGGCCTTCATCGCATACAATGAGATCAGCACCTACGAAAAAAGTAAAAGGCTAATTTTTAGTTGGATAAAAAAATATCTAGACTTAAAATTAAAACTTTGCATAGATTAGTTAGTTAAATACCGCTGGTGATGATGACTTAAAGGTTGGAAGAAATGGTGAACTTTTTGTTGATTTCTCTCTCTCTCTCTTAACATGTGTGCTGCCAATCATAAGTAACAAGCATTTTTTAAAAAGACAGGCCCAATACATTACTAAAGTCTGTTTTACGCCCAATCAGGTACAATGTTTAGGTTTTTGAAGGGTTTTGTTGATCAAAATGGCTAGACTGCTGTCAAGTTTTAGAACAGTAGAACCCTTTATATCCGACCTCAGAATAATTGACCCCTCAAGTTATCCGACTGTCTACTTTTTTCTGTCTGGAGCGATAACACCGAGCGCGATCGGTAAACCAAAAGGCCAATCGCGGATGTTCGACGATGAAAGACGATCACCACTGTCGCCGATAACGAGTGTTGTTTTACGCTCACAGATGTTGCCACAGTCGTGAGAGACGATTACCGATGTCGCGGAGACTGCAGGTTATGCTTCTTACAATATCCAACCTTTTGGCTGTTCCGACCATGGCCCTGTCCCGTCATGGTCGGATATGAGGGGTTCAACTGTACCAGCAAAATGAAAATTCTATGAATAATTTTTTGGAGATAATGATGATTGTGTTTAGTCACTCTTTTCTCACTAAATCACATTTTGATTCAGCTTTACTTTTAACACACTCTGAGGGTCAGAAGACTTCACATACAGAAGAATGTGACAGTATGTGTAGACAACACATACTGTGTGAACCTGTTAAGCAGAAAACAATATGATACTTTATGAAGTTAATAGTAAATAATGGTTTCCGTATAATAATATTTCTGTGAAATTCAATGAAGATACCTGGATCGATCAGTGTCTCAAGAAAGTCCTTTTTCATTTTCGCTTTAAACTTCTTGGTCGTTTCGTTTGTCAAGTTTCGAAACATTTCGTAGCCCATGACCAAGACACCACCGTTGTGTTGCCACCTCCGAAGTTCTCTAGCTCGGTCTGGATTCTTGTTATATCTATAACATTGTGATCAGTGGAATTGTTATGAAATTCAAGCGTAATGCACCCATGAGATGGCAAAACAACTAAGAGGCTACTTTTGAATAGTTTGTATGGATTAAAGGTGTAGCCATCCTTTTAGACTATTAAAACCTAAATTAATTGTTATAGCTGGAGATCTAAGAGGTCAGTGCTTGCCCAACGATGTGAAGGTCATTGGTTCGATCCTGAGAAAAGTCAGTACCTTTGAGATCGTTCAAAACTGTACCCAGCTGTCGTTGATTATTATTAGGTTTTTCAGATATGGCTGGATTAAAAATAAATTAACTGACCCAAGTCAGTAACAATAGGTACAACACAAATAATTTGATACTTCCCACACTTATCTTTATATTTCTGCTAAAATATGCTATTGCTGCATTCCCTGTTCATAATAGTGATATGAAAAGTCGGCATACCTAGTAAGATGGAAAACCTCAATGTCTCCATCTTCAACGCCTTCCAGCCACTTGTCAAACTCGTTGACCCAGTTAAGTACAGTAGACAACGGACACACCACCATCACTGTGCGTACCTAAAACACGGCTTTGTCAAGGAAATAGATAATATCTTAAACCTACATTTTAGAAATTTCTGAGGATTCAATTAGCTTAGCAAGTGCCCTGAAGATTAAATTTTCCAAACATACCTTTCACAGTTAAGTAAATCATTATATAAGAATTAACACATTCGTTCAAATATCATACAACAAGTAGGCTTTACTAATTTTTAATATTTACAGTTTTAACTACAGGTTGATTTTGTTTTCAATGTAGCAATATTACTGTGTGAACAATGTAAAGAGAAGAGGGTTTTAAGAATAAAAAAAAATGGAAAATGTGATTAAGATGCAGATTATAGTTACTTTTGTGTATTCCTCATGAGCCAGTAGTGTGTGGACCAGAGATACAACCTGCAACAGTGTGAACATATTGATGAACAACATTTGAAAAAGCCTGATATTTTAAATATAACATACATCGCCATGAAGGCAAAACAAATGCACAATATTAACAGTGAAATTATTAAAAATACAAAAGTACAAAGCCAGGCTTTATACACAAAATGAAACAGGAATATTTTCTCTTGAATCATGAAGTAACCAAAAAATTGTCTCCACCTTTGAAAAATTACTATTTATATTGACTGAAAATTTACCTCTAACAAAAATGATGCAGTAAATTAGGGTTCAATTATTTATTAGGGTTGATTATTTTGGATCAATTTGATTTGTTTACATACAATACAATTCACATCGGCAAAACGTCTAATAGTAGTAGTAGGAGTTTTTTGCTGATCATTTTGAAATCATTACGATGTAACTGAGATTACAGGAAATTATTACGATGTTGTTGCAGTCAAAAGGATGTTGGCACACTTGGAATTTGCCAAAAATGTGCAGAGCCATACTGTCAGGTAGTGTCAACTTCAGACCCAAAGTGCCTGTACTAACTTTTCTAACATTGATTCTCAGTTCTGGTACTTTTCCCAAGAACCGATGGTATTGACACCCACTACTTGGGACGATTGCATGGGATTTTGATGATATTAAAGGAGATGATGTGTCTACAACCAGAGTTTACTGTGATAGTTGCAACGATGCCGACAACGCTTTTACAATAACAACATAACTTCCAATACAATTTTGTAAAAGTTTAAAAAGACACAATATTTTAAAATATCCTCACCTGAAAAGTCTTGCCCAAGCCCATGCAATGAGCTAGGATACAACCAGATCCTTTATTCTTTTTGATCTGTTTCACAGACTCAAAACATGAGTCCCACATAAACTTGACTCCTTTAGCCTGTAAAGAAAAGCAAATTGAAGAATTGTTCTAGGGATTACAAGGAATACAGAATCTGTTCAAAAAATTTAGAGGGGTTGGCAATAACAAAGTGGTCATTAACAAATAAATATTTTACTTTTTACTTTCTCCCTCTACTCACAAAGAAAGCATTGTTTTTGTCTAAATGATAATAAAACATTTTGAGTTTGAGTTTTTGGGTGGCTTTTGGCCCCCCTAAACCCAAAAAAAGTGGTTTTTAAAGCGACAACTGTATGTGTGGATGTGTACAGAGCTACAGCCACACCTTTCTTTCTGATTTAGATCAATTTGGCATGTGGTTCTAATCCTTGGTATCCCCAGGCGTTTGTTCATTTTATTAAATTTTGATTTTTAATTGTGATTTTCCCATGAAATAACACAAAAATTGGCAAGACCTGTTTTAATTAAAATTAAGTATGTTATTGTCCTTTTAATTTGAAACAAAATGGTACAACTCTCATTGCTGTATAAATTACGGTTCAAAAGTGAATGCAACGTTTTTGTGATTATTCCCATAGAAATCATAGTTACCCCTTCCACTTACCCATGACACGGAAGGTTGACAAGCTAAAGGAGAACACGTATGTGTCAGATCGCTAATATAGTTTATTTCTGTTACTTCCGATGCTTTTTTTAGATCAAAGGTCATTTCAAATGCTGGTGACTATCCTTTTATTACAAACTCTTTCCTTAAGTGTTCTAATTAAAAATACCTAGGTTTTACTTTAAACTTGTCTGTTCAGGGAATATAGCAAGCATAGTAAGAAAAATGATTGTAAAATACAAGAATAAACAGCTATTTTACAGAAAAATCCCAATAATTCGCTATACAATGATCTATTCATTGCACATAATCCATCTCTCGGTATACCAGATCCAACAACAAAACTAATAAGTCTAAATGTTTTACTTTGCTGGCAGTGATTTATATTTACTTAAACATAGTAACTGTAAACATTGGCAATAATGTAGAAAACAGCAAACAAAAAGCAGTAAATACAAATGGAAATTTGAATTTTTACCTAAATAATTTAACCTGTATATAATTACCTGATGAGGCTTCATTTTTGCAACCAAATCTTTGTTAACAGAAATGAGTTCTTTTTTTGTTTCTGGATCAAAATCCAAAACAAGTTTTTCCAGTTTTGTAGATTCTTTAACTTCAAACACCTGGTTGAACTGTAAACAGACATAATTTTTGTAAAAAGTTGTGGGAGGAAAAATGTAAAATCTTTAAATCCCTGAACATATGACTGAAGTGAAATGTTAATACAAAATTACGTAAAATTTATCTTTAAATTAAAAAAGGAATACACTAACTATCCGGCAGAAAAAGTCATATTTACCTTAAAGATTTTTCCACCTCCCCCAAAAGAAAAAAAAAACATTGTAGACAGTATACAAGACGATAATGTTTAGTTTATAATGCACTATTCAGTATAGTATTGATTTGCCTTGAGAAAAATATTATACAGGGTGTCCCGGAAACTCTCTACCAATATTTTAGGGCATTGTTCCTGGGTAAGAAACATATCTAAATATCATATTTAAATTGTCCGGAAGTCCTTATTTACTCAGATAGCCGCCATTTTGTTTTTTTCACTTATTAATTTTTTTCTGAAGATTGGTTAAACATACGAAGTTGAAACTTTGCACAAACATTTATGACAACTAGACAAAGCTACAAAAAAATTATAACGATTTTTCAAATTCGTAAAACAAAATGGCGGCTGTTTAAAATTGTGTTTCTTAAATTACTCGAAAACCGTTGATTTTACAAAAACTTTACAAGAAAAACTTTTTTAAGGCAATTTTATTACAAATCGATCGACACCTTAATCTTTAAGATCGGACGAGTATTAACTGAGATATGGCAGTTTTAGTGATACGTGACCGCCGGATATTAGTTGCAGCGCATGCTGAAAGCGGTCACGTATCACTAAAACTGCCATATCTCAGTTAATACTCGTCCGATCTTAAAGATTAAGGTGTCGATCGATTTGTAATAAAATTGCCTTAAAAAAGTTTTTCTTGTAAAGTTTTTGTAAAATCAACGGTTTTCGAGTAATTTAAGAAACACAATTTTAAACAGCCGCCATTTTGTTTTATGAATTTGAAAAATCGTCATAATTTATTTGTAGCTTTGTCTAGTTGTCATAAATGTTTGCGCAAAGTTTCAACTTCGTATGTTTAACCAATCTTCAGAAAAAAATTAATAAGTGAAAAAAACAAAATAGCGGCTATCTGAGTAAATAAGGACATCCGGACAATTTAAATATGATATTTAGATATGTTTCTTACCCAGGAACAATGCCCTAAAATATTGGTAGAGAGTTCCGGGACACCCTGTATAATGTGATTTTTTAAAAACAAATGGCATCAAGAAGATGTGAATGGTAGGTTAGAAAATATTCCATTAAAAAGTAAGCTTCAGAGCTGATTTGAACTTCTCCAACTGAGAAGAAAACTAGAGTAGAAGTAGGCTGTCAACTGATTGGTTAGTAACAAAGCTATGCTCCTTGTAATGAAAGTAAACCCAGATTAATTGTAATCAGAATAAAGGGTTTTATTAATCTGAAAACTGAACTATGAACAATAATGGAATATAAACAAAGCTGAGTATTTACTAATAACATATGACAGTAAACATTTTAAATAATCAATCATGTGAGTTAAGTTTAGTTGTATTTATCATTGACTGTAGATTTTATTCACTACATTCTCCCCTCCTAGATAGAGAATAGTCTTTCAGGTATTTTGGAGGATATCTGATTCTTGATGTTCGCCTTAGTGTTGCTTGACCATCACTTAAACTATTCAACTGGTCAGCTTTGGTCTGGTTGGTGTTTGGTTGAGATTGATAGACAGTTGGAAGTGACTGAACATGTGTGCTCAGTTGCTGTTGTTTTGTCTGAGAGATGGTGTCTTCATTTATGGTCAAATGACATTCTTCCCTGATGTCAGCAAGCTCAGGTTCATCTACACTTTGCTCCGTACACTCTTCAGAACGGTTTGTGAGCTCAATGTCTCCCCTTGGAGCCAACTGTCTAAGAGAGACTGTCTTTTCTTCTCCATTTGTTAGTCGTATTGTTGCGTAGTTAGGATTAACGTCAATCAGATCAACTTCGTCAACCAATGGATCATATTTACTTTGTCTAACATTTCTTTTCAATAATACTTTTTGGGATTCAAGAAGCCAAGTTGGTAAGGACTGACCGTTGGAGGTTTTTCTCGAATGAATAAACATCCGTTCATGTGGAGTCTGGTTTGTGGCAGTGCATAGAAGCGAACGAATAGCGTGCAGGGAATCATTTAATACAAGTTCCCAATTATGTACTGAAAGATTGCGACTTTTTAACAACAGTGTAATTGCTTTCCAAATTGTACCATTATACCGCTCGATTTGACCATTTCCTTGTGGGTTATATGGCGTGGTTCGGCTTGTCGCTACACCTTTAGTGTTTAAGAAATCTTTTAGTTCTCTTGACATGAATGATGCGCCTCGATCAGTGTGAATATTTATAAGAGTTGTTTCCTGAGGTCTGTAAAAACGAGGTTTTATTTCCGCACAGGTGGGACACAAAGCAGTCATTCTCTTTATTCCTTCCAAGGAGTATGGTAAATTCCGACTTCTCACCCAATGTGCCATCCTTGTGATTCCTGGATGACAAAGTTGAGCATGCAGTTGATGCAGCTTGTTTGAATTGGTTGATCCACAGACTCGGGATAAGGTATCAGCAACATTATTTTGTTTTCCCGGCCTGTAAATAATGTCATAACCATAGCATGCAAGCTCCAAACGCCATCTAAGTATTTTTTCATTCTTGATTTTGCTTGAGTGGTTGTTATCAAACATGAAGGACACAGATTTTTGGTCCGTAATGAGTTTGAAGTGTCGACCAATAAGGAAATGTCGCCACTTTTTCAGAGCTTCGACTATAGCATAAGCTTCTTTTTCAACAGCAGAGTGTCTTTGTTCACTTGATGATAAGGTTCTTGAGAAAAATGCAACAGGTCGACCGTTCTGGGAAAGGCTTGCTGCAATTGAATGCTCGGATGCATCAGTTTCAACATCAAAGGGGATATCCTCATCAATAGCAGAAATAGCTGATTTGATTATTTCTTGCTTCAGATTTTCAAAGCTTGCGGCAGCCTGAGATGAAACTGGAAACGTTTTAGTTTGTATTAAACAATGTACTTTTTCTGAGTAATGTGGGACCCACTTTGAGTAGTGAGACAGCATACCTATAGTTCTTCTCAGTGAAGCAGTGTCTGTAGGCAGCGGTAGATTCTGTAATGGTTTCAGTCTATCTTGATCGGGCCGGATGGTTTTATTACTTATCTCATATCCCAAGAGGATTATTGACTTTAGCGAATACCTGCTTTTGTTCTCATTAATAGTAAGGCCATATTTCTTGACAGCTTCAAGAAATTTGTCTAAGTTTGCATCATGGTCACATTGATCATTTCCGCATACTGTGATGTCATCGAGATATGCAAAAGTTCCATTTAAATTTTCAGTTCGAATGATATCATCAATTACCCTCTGAAAACAAGCTACTCCATTTGTGACCCCAAATGGAATCCTGGTGAATTGATAAAGTCTACCATCACCTTCAAAAGCTGTATATTGCTTTTCATCCTCTCTAATAGGAATCTGATGGTACGCACTAGATAAATCGATGGTACTAAACACTGAGTATTTTGATACTTTAGAAACTACGCTTTCTATGCTAGGAAGTGGATAAGCATCCAGCAGCGTAAAGCGGTTTATAGTTTGAGAATAGTCTATAACCATTCGTTTCTTATGGTTTTCATTGGTTGTGACTAGAGCTTGAGCCCGCCATGGTGATCGACTTTCTTCAATTATTCCTTCCGACAAAAGTTTTTGAACTTCGCTTCGAATGAAGAGGCTGTCATTCATTGAATGTTTGCGAGATTTAGTCGCTATAGGTCTTATGTTTTCAGTAAGATTGCTGAATAACGGCGGAGGATCAATTTGAGCATGAGCTAGAGCGCATATGTTTAATGGTGATTTATGTCCTCCAAAATCCATTTGAATTTGTGAGTGATGTTTTCAAATCGTGACCTATCACAACGTCAGCACATAGATCCTTCAAAACCGCCACTCTTGCTTTGGTGTATGAATGTTCTAAAAGCCTTACATTTACAATGCAATACCCAACAATTTGAGAGCTAAGTGAAGTGGATGCCATTGAAACTCTACCAGAACTATGGAAAAGTCTAATTTTATGTTTAGAAACAAAAGCATCTCTTAAAAAAGTTTCTGAACTTCCTGTATCTATTAATGCATCGGCTTGAAGATTATCTACAGTGACTGGTACCACAGCTCGTTTTAAACAAGAAGGTGAAGCTGCTGTCACAGTAGCAACGACATTTGGATCAGTCGTAACGGCGTTAGAAGCTTTATTGTTACTCTTTTTGAGATTAGACCTACAGACTTTTGAATAATGGCCTGTTTTAGAGCAGTTCTTGCAGACTGCATCTTTAGCTGGACATGATGCACGTGGATGTCTACCGTATCCACAGAAGTAGCATTTAGAGGTTGTTGCTGAAAGCTGTGACACATCATTCTCAGAAGCAGAATTTACAGATGAAGTAGCATTTACAACAGGATCGACATTAGAATAGCAGACTGACTGATTATGAGCAGCTTCCAAAGCTAGAGCTTGATTACAAGCTTGTTCCAGAGATAGAGTATTATTTTCTAAAAGCCGTTGTCGTATTGAAGAAGATAAAATTCCACTAAGAAATACATCCCGAATAAAGTTGTTTTTATGTTCTTCAGCAGTGACTGCAGAAAATTTACATTCCTTACTTAGAACTTTTAGGGATAGTAGGTATTCACTGATAGTCTCACCTGATTTTTGCTTACGTGATGCTAACTGGTACCTTGCGAAGATTTCACTCGTTGGTTTTATAAATATACTGTTCAGAATCTTGATGGCTTCATCATAGGTATTACATTCAGTTATGAATTCGAAGATAGGTTGGGAAACATGATTAATTAAAAGGTTCAGTTTGTCCTCTGAAGTTACTCTTTCTTCATTTGTTCCAATTTTGTTTACAAAACTTTCAAATGTTTTTAGGAAATGTTTCCAAAGTTTAGCACTGTTGGGAGAACTTGGATCAGTGTCAAATCTATCTGGTTTTAGAAATCTTTCCATAGTTTAAGAGTTAGAGGTAAGGAAAATTAAATTATAAATAATCTAACATTTGAATAATTCAGATTAATAAATTGTAATGAAAGTAAACCCAGATTAATTAATTGTAATCAGAATAAAGGGTTTTGTTAATCTGAAAACTGAACTATGAACAATAATGGAATATAAACAAAGCTGAGTATTTACTAATAACATATGACAGTAAACATTTTAAATAATCAATCATGTGAGTTAAGTTTAGTTGTATTTATCATTGACTGTAGATTTTATTCACTACACTCCTATACATTCTTAACTTAATACTTCACACCTTCTGTTTTCCCATTCCACTATTAGGTGACTAAATAATTATTCCAGGTTTTTGTTTAAGTTTTTATGGTGCGAGTAAAGTAGAGTATCATTGAAATTGTTTTTTGAAATATATAATGACATTAAGAATCAAACATTTTTATTTGTATAAGTCTTTTACCAGTTTCTGCCTCTCTTCAATACGTCTCCTTCTTTCCTTTTCTTCTTCAGCTGCTTCTATCGTCGTTTGTTCTAAGTCACCTTTTTTCTTGATCTTTTTGATGTTTTTACGACCTCCTTTAGTAGGTGATTCTCCATCCTGAAAACAATATCAACATTACAATTAATCTTTTAATAAAAACTTTAATTATTAAACAACGATTGAGTTGCATGTTATAGTAATAATGTATATTGTGTAAATGAAATTACGCGTACTCTATTGTAAATTATCAATTTCTGTCTAAACACAAACTTTCAAACTGAAAGGAAAATTTGTCTGCTATGTCACATTAACTATCAATTATTAATTATTTAAGATGGGAACGCCACTATGTGCGTATTTTAACCCAAAGATGAGTGGAGGATGAGTGGCGCGATCTTGTAGTTTTGTTAGTGACTAAGGCCGACATGTTTCTTAGACACAGCTGTTAATTAATAGCCCATACAGCCAATGGCAACTAAGGGACCTACAGTTTATAGTGAAATCCGAACCACATTTTTTCCTTGTAATTAACAAATTGATCTAATTGTCAGGATAGTACTGTGGATAGTCGTAGTACTCACTAGTGCGGACGTTAATCCACACCAGAGAGTATCGCATCCACAGTACATGCCTATAAATATCCCCAATTTGTGACACCCTAGTAGCTGGATTACAGGACTACGCCACCGTCCCAGTCTTTCACAGCAACAATTGATAGAACAAATACAATTTTAGACTATAGCAGACTTTATGAGTAGCTCATTCAATAATGTTATTTTTAATCAAACATTGGCTACGACTAGTCCAAATGGATGGCATGTCAACTAAGTATCCAAAAAACCACGGAACCTCAAATTAATTGTCTGTAGTGAAGACCATTAGTTTAAATGTGATTAATCTGTTAACACTATCTAAATTACATAAAACAATATATTTTTACTCCAACAAAATTGATTCATAAAGAACATATAAATTGCACAGAAAGTTTAAAATATTTAGGAGTACCGGTAACTTGTGAATAGTAGAAACTAAGAAGACAAAGAGATACTAAGTTGTCAAATGCCAATTCGTCCTGAAAGAAGTTAATTTCATCTAAAGCAGTGGTGGCTAGACCGAACCGCCCACCCAACAATACATAAATAAATTACATTTTAATATTCTTCAGTTCAATTAAAATTACTTTGATGAGCAATATGCATATTGTTAAAACTTAACAATTTGCAATATAAATACAGGGTGATTCAAAATGAATGACCCAGTTTTAACGCTTTATAACTTTTATACTATTAAACTTACCGCTATAAAATACACATCAAACGAAAAAGCAACTCAAAGAGTTTATGCCTTCCAAAGACACATCGTTTAACAAAATCGATCCAGCAGAACTGTAGATTTAATTGTAAAAAGTTAAAAAGTAATCTCCAATTTTTTTTGCCACTAGAAATTTGGAGGTTACTTGACGTTTTTGCAAATAACTTTTAAATGGTGAGGAAATCGCAAAAGTGGAAGGTAATATTCCGAAAGAGAATAAAATTTCCAATTCAAAATCTACTATTATGCATGTCTTGAAAATACTCAATAAATGTAGCTTAAATTTGGCTTAAAATAAAAAAGTGTGAAATTTAATGTTTGCTATGTTTATTAACTACATTGAAGACGGGGATTTTCAATTTTTCTTTAATTTTGAGGCAATTTTTGGTACCTTTCTTGAGTATATTCAAAAAATGCATAGTAGTAGATTGTAGGAAATTTTATTCTCTTTCGGAATATTACCTTCCACTTTGGTCGATTTTCTCACCATTTAAAAGTTATTTGCAAAAACGTCAAGTAACCTCCAAATTTCTAGTGGTAAAAAAAGTTGGAGATTACTTTTTAACTTTGTAAATTAAACTCTACAGTTTGGCTGGATTGATTTTGTTAAATGATGTGTCTTGGAAGGCATAAATTCTTTGAATTGCTTTTTTGTTTGATGTGTATTTTATAGCGGTAAGTTTAATAGTATAAAAGTTATAAAGCGTTAAAACTGGGTCATTCATTTTGAATCACCCTGTATATCAAATAATTGGATAAATAAATTCAGTAATGACTTATTAGTGCATCCAACACATTCTGGATATTCTGTATGGCAAGCTACTGTTATGATGAGTAGAACTGACCTTGGTGCACCTGTTTGTTATAGCTCAAACCATCTAAACTAGAAAATAACTGAGCTGACCTCAAACTGTTATTATGGTGTTAAGTGAGTTATCAGTAACGTTCGTGCGTGAATAAGTAAAATACTAACTGTATACTTTTATTTTAAACTGATTTCACATCCAGTTTAGTTAAAAGTAGGCCCTGCATTTCTGGTTAATTAATATTATCAAAGTACAATAGGTTTTTAGGTTGACGGTGTAGGTTAAAATGCAATTTGTTTTTGTAAGCTGTTTTGGATATTTGGCAGGCTTTCTATTCTTAACACGTTGACTGCGCGCGCCGACTTTACAGGCGCTCCCCAGTGGCGGGCGAAGCCCCGGCGCGCAACCGAATCAGCGAACGCAATTGGCATTCAAATATTTCAGTCTGACGAATCACAAAAGAGCAGTGGTGACTGTGCTGCGTTACCCCGAGAGTGGATGTAGTTCACTGAAACACCCAAAGGTAGCAGCACTGCATGGATCCGTATCCAGTGTCTTTGTAATGTGGGTTGAAGAGAAAAAATCCCCGAAACCGGGACAAAAGCATTGCCAGACAGGATTTTACGGGAAATTTTAGTACCAACCTACACCAAAGTAAAGCTCGCATTCTAAGCTGGCAGGCTGGCAACGATTATAACGTCTCCGTCTGAGGCTAAGCTCACACTGACTCAATATATTTCTGTTGGTCTGGTGCCGAATTTAGTCGGCGCGCGCCACCTGGGAGCGCTGGCGACGCCGACTTAAGGCGCCACGCGCAGTCAACGTGTTAATTACCTAAGATATTTGATAGAATATTATTATTATAATTATTTTGTTAGTGTTATTTTCAGGACAGACCCATTTGCAGACATTTTTATTTAAATTCAATAGCGGCCTTGGAAACAAGTTGAAATAAATATATGTTGTATTGACTTTTATAAGTATAGATTACAAATTTAAGCCTAACATTTTTTCAATTCTTTGCCAAACGTGAATGATGGTAGTCTTAAATTTATTCATACAAAAATATGCACCACCTATGAACACCAGCCGCTACTAATCTAATGTATTATCCCACAGAACAAAAATACAGTTATACAAGACAATAATTCAACCTATTTTGTTATATGGTAGCAAAACATGGGTATTGTCCAAAGAAAAATTAAAAAAGACTCGTGGTTTTTGAAAATAAAGTCCTAATAAAAATATTTGGACCAGTACAAGAGGGAGAAATGTGGAGCATAAGGAAAAATAGAGAGCTAAGATCCCTATACACCGACCCAGACATTTTTGCAATGGGTAAAGGAAGAAGGTTAAGTTGTATAGAGCATGTGTTAAGAAGAGAGAAAGGAACAAGACTGTATGAAGTTTGAAAAGCCACAACTGGAGATAAACGTCCAATGGAAATGCTGAAATTGGGATGGACTGATTAAGTCCTTAACGACGTCAGGACGATGGGAGCCAATGTCAACTTGGCAGGAGACAGAGAAGGGTGGAAGAGGCTGGTACACAAGGCGAAGAATCAACTGAGATTTCTGGAGCCACGGCAGTAAGTAAGAAACAAAATAGATTAAAACAAACCTGGTTTCCTTTCTCATCCCCGCTCCCCCCTGACTCAGAAGAATCAGCACACTTTACTCGCCTCCTTTTCTTCCTGTAAAGTAATTTTTAATTAGCTTAATAATAGTCTCTTTGACATGCATTGAGTTTAAACCACCAGGAAAACCTTACCTACTATTCTTACTAACAGGAAATAGTACACTACCATAAAGAGTTTGACAAGCAAAATCAGCAAATTCTGTGATGTTTAAGAAAAAATTATGTAGGCCAGGGTTTTGATTTGTAGAAAAAGGGCAAGCTATCTCTTTATACAAAGTAGAGGTAGGTCGCTGAAGACAAAAAAAATTCCATGGGAGACACAAAAAACATTGGTGGCCAGTTGAAGAGAATCCATACCAAATACATAGATTTACCTATAATATTTAACCTAAAAGTGAAGTGTAAGATACATACTTCTTAATCTTCTCTTCCCCTGAGATGGAAGCATCGCTATCACTTGAACTTTTATTTTTCCGTTTATTTCTCGGTGCGATTTCAGAATCATTGGAATTACCGGAGTCATCTAACGTGACAGTGAAATCTTCGTCTTTTTCTATCTTGTCATTTTCGTCCTCAGAGCTAGAGAATAAATAATTGGGAAGATTATGATTCAGCACTAAAAAGTTGAGCTAGAGTCTACACACACACACATATATATACATTTTAATTATTCTTTTAGTCTGTTTCTAATCACATGTTTGGGAGAGAGAAATGTCTTTAGGTTCTAACACCTAACATCACACAACTGACATCACTTACTTAAACCTTCCTAGTTTGAATAGTGGCAGTGAAATATTGAAATATTCTTACTTTTGTATATAGAGTTATATCTTTCTTTTTTGTTTCTTATGCAGGAGTATACTTTATCCCTTTCAAGATAGGATTGTTTAACCCACTAATGGTTAACACGCCAATCTACACACAAGGGTATTGGCACTCCATCCTGATGGTTACGTTGTAATCTAAGTTTGAGAAGATGTATCTGATACGTAAATCACAGTCTGCCTTGTTTATTAAATAAAGAATATTTTCAGCTTCTCGAAATACATTTAACCTAAAGAAAATTTATTATTTAGTTTTAACCTGGTAATGACTGCTGGTTGCTCCCCTTCATCATCGCTTGAAAGTGCCAACACGTTGCGAGACTTCTTTTGAGTTTTGGCTGCCTTTCTCTTTGGAATAGTTTTTTTCTACAAATAGTGAACAGAAATTAAAAATAGTAGTAATGAATGAAATACTTCAAACCCATTCATGTTACACAACTTCTTGAATATCCTTTTACGTTCTGATGCTATTCTAAAAACACTAAAGCATTTTAAAATTTGTAAAGTACAGTAGTAACATTAACTAACACACTAGTAACAAGCTAGACGTAGTAAAATTATGATCTAATTATCAATTATATAAATTATTCAATAAGATGATAAAGATTGTTTGCAAACAAATCAACCTTTCAATTGAAGTTTTAAACTCAGAGAAAGGAAAAGGTGTGTACGAGGGTTGTCTGCAAATGAAGGTATCCAATAAACTCTAGTCACAGTCTTCTTTACTTCTCTGACCAAGAACTGTTCTCTACTGTCCTGGCTGGCCCCCACCCTTATGCAACAATTATTTTCATCGTAGCTAAAACAATGTGAAAGAGGTAACAATTCTAGGTGATGCATGTAGGTAGGATTGGCGTTTGGAGATGGAAAAGGTGGAAGGAGTTTGAAGATGACCATAAACATGTTTACGATGTTTTGCATGTACGCCAGCTGCGGTCGTTTGTTCGTTTTTTTTTTTAGTCGGTGGCTATATTCAAGGAAACTTTGCAAGCGGATGGACTGACAGATCGCCAAAGTGACTGTGGAGTGGGGAAATCTCTAAGACTACCGAGGACTGGTAAACACTAGTAGTATTAAACAAACCGATCCGAAAACAACATTTCAATTTTAATCCCTGTCTTGATGAGAACCCTTGGACACTTGCAGCAGGCTTATACGCAACACATGTTTACAGTTTGGCTAACTCCCTCACTCAGGCATATCTGTGCAGATTTTTACTTCTTTACACTTTATTCATACTGGTCTATCAACTGGAATGGATTTCAATGACACTCTTCCAAATAAAACTATTCTATTCACTGAACACAATTCACACTTGGTAGCATACATTTTCCCTAGGAAGTAAATAATACGGCAGTTTTAAACTTAAAATAACTCGATTGGCAGACTTTGATTTGCAGAAAAACCTCGTAGATACAATTTGACAACAAGCTTATAGTGCAAGTCAAGTTCACTGCTGAGTTAAACATACACGTTTCATACTTTCATGTAATTTTAAAAATTGGTGATAAAGTGAACATAAAAATAAGCTGCAGTCTACAACAGCTATAATAATTTTCTTGAGTGCCATATTAATCTCAATACTGTTTTTAACTTATGACATATTTAATTTTCAATAAATATTTACTTACCGGTTTGACTTCTTCTTCTTCACTTGAAGAATTGAGTCCTACAAATTTGATTTTGTCATTTTTAGAGTCAACGTTCTCCTCCTCTAGGGCAGCAGAACTTTTCTTTGTTTTCTCTTCTTTCTTCTCAATTACATTTTCTTTTTCTTGACTCATTTCAGCATCATTTGAGTTTTCATTACTACTTTCTGCCAAATCCAATGTAAAATCATTCATATCTGCATTACCATTCATTTCAGTTTTTTCTTCTTCCTGGGTTTCATTTTTTTCCTAGAAAAAAATTTTGTGGATATGAAAGTACTTATTTTTAACACCATTGGATGAAAAGCAGTCCCGTGGTTGGTCAAATTAGTTGACAATTCTAATACCTAGGGTGACCTCATTTAGAACTAAATTATTAGAATGGTTTGAAATTAACTATATTTTTAGATTTTTAATTTAAATCAAAACTAAATCATAACAATATTGCGCCAGGTGTTATTAGTTGTTTGTTAAGGCTATACAAATTTGATATTTGTAAACAAAAATTCCACAACAACAACAAATTTTTATTGCCATACCAAATACAGTTGCTGAACAAATTCACGTTGCTTTATTAAGTTTTTATATTCAAACATGATAGTTGTGAAAGGAATTTTACTATTAAATCAATAATACGTATAAATAAAACTGGTTTAACGAGGAATAAAATTTTGCGTTATGAAGAACAAACAAATGTTGGTTTTGATTGAATTAACCTACACAATACAATTAAATAATGAGATTTCCAACATTTCAGAAAGTTGCATCCATTTACAAGATATATATAATATTAATGTAAGAAGTTATTTATCATCAAGATAATATGGAGATTAAATACTGGGTTTAACCCTTTTAATATTTCAGTGGTAATCAAGAATTGAATAGAAATATGTATAGGCTAATTAATTGTTATTTTTAACACGTTATGTGCGGCCGTTCCCGATCGTGTACGGTGCTTGGCGCGTCTGTACCCGATCAGGAACGCTCAGCAATGATTTTCGTACATCTTTGTTTTTGCTCTAGCGTCGGTTGAATGAAGGCGAACCTATACCACGTTAGCATTTAGTGTTTGACTTGCTTTTTGTTGTGGTGTAGGTTGGTAGTTTCCCCGTAAAACAATGGGACCGGCTTTGTTCCAAGCAGTGCTGCTATCTGTGGGTGTTTTAGCGAACTACATCGACTCTCGTCGTAAGGCAGGACATCCCCGCACGTTGTTTGCTATTCGTCAAACCGAAATTTGAAAGCCAATCACACACGCTGCGACAATCGACGCTGCGGGCTGCGCCGGACTGGGGATACGCCTGCCATTTGATGCAAACTTAAGTAAATTTTATTGGTGAAGAAATTTTTTTTCCAAAAGATTGGAAAAGAGTAAAAAAAAATAAAAATCCCACCTCTCTAGAAACTACCAAATTTCAAGGTTGGACCAATTTTGTTGATGAACCTAAATTAACTAAAAATGAATTTATGTAGGCCTAATTGGTTGAAACTTTATCAAAGTTGGGAAGAATTAAAAGAGCATTATTACTCAATATTTGGAAAAAACAATGGGTTTGGCTTTTGGGGAGGGCTGAAACCAATAATTCAGCCACTTGGTCTCTCCAGAGGCTTATTTCCATATGGAAATTCGCTAATCACAAGTTTGATTGAGCTTATACATGAAAACACGAGTTTGTAAGTAATGCATCTCCAGGATAAATAATGTGATTTTACTACTCCATAACGCAAACTATAACATACCTCAAAATCACTGGATGGCTCTTTTCTCTTTTCAGTTTCCTCATTCTCCAAGTTGCTTCCTTCTAATTTGTTCAGCTTCAACTTTTTACTACTTGTAGTATCGTCATCATCAGAATTGCCTTCTTGAAGCTTGCCTTTCCTGGACGATTTTGATTTCAATTTTTCGTTTTTAGTTTTAGATTTGTCAAGTATCTCATAATCACATTCTTCCTTCTTATTCTCCTTTTTACTGTGTTTGCCTTTTGTTTTGGAATCCGGTTTGATTTCTTCTTCATCAGAACTGCTTAATAAGTTTGAGTGTTCTTCTTTTGTCTTGGTTTTGTTAGTGGATTTGCTTGATTTACTTTTTGTTGACGTTTTTTTACCACTCTTTCCCTCTTCATCACTTCTTGAGTTTTCTTCGTGTTTTTTCCTATTGGATTTGTCTTTTGAGTTGTTGGTAATTTCGTGTTCATCATCATTGGATCCTTCTCTTTTCAATTTCTTCAAAACAAGTTTCGGAACCAGCTCCTCTTTTCCTTTACTATCCGTTTCTAGTTAAAAAGAAAACATCACAAAGTTTCAGAAATGCAGGTTGTTTTCAGAGTGATAATTTTTTGTTTTTTGCCAATGGTTGATCTTAGATCCACTAAAACTTCTTTAAATATTAAGAAAAATTGAAATAATTGCAAACTTTAGTATTGAATGAAATACAGTGGTTTTTGGAAGATGTTGACGGGTCTGATAAAATGGCATCTAAATAGCAATTCAAAAGTTGAATTTTTAAAATTCACAAAGAAACATAAAAATGGGAGACATTTTTAATATTTAAAACACTAAAACTTTATAGAACAAAAAGTTAAAACTACTTAGGTTATCCTGGACAGTCAATAGTTGTTTCCCATTTTGGTAAAACTTTGTTTTTTAAATGACAAACAAAGTATCATGTCAAAAAACAAAATCGCACCAATATTGATCCAGTTTTTAGTAATTGTTTGTAAAAACTTACATTTGTATATATATAACTAAAAAAATAATACCTCTAACAAGGGAAAATAATGTTTTTAATGGCTATTCTAAATATTGTATGGGTTAAAATAACATATCAGTTGTGAGATTAAATCTTACCAAGCAAACCACACAAGTTCTTAGTCGGGAAATTTGATAATAGAGTAAAATTTTAGAAAATAGTTAAATAAAAGGTTGTTACCATTCTTCTTTTCTCTATCCCTACTAGAATCATCTTCACATTTCTCCTCTGAGCTTTTAGAAACTTCATCCTCATCGTCTTTGGATCCTCCGCTTTTCAATTTTTTCAAAACAATTTTTGGAACCATCTCTTCCTTTTCTTTACTATCTGATTCTGATGAAAAAATTTGTCAAATTAGAAAACACTATGGCAAAGTTATATAAATATAAATTCAGTTAAAGTGCACACTTTTTTATCCAAATACTGATCTTGAACAAGTGACCCATAAAAAATCTTTGATGCCAAAGAATTAAACGGTTGCAAAACCTTATATTGCATATTAATATCTGAAAGAATCATACTATTCCAGAGAGAAGGGCCACCAAATCATCTTCCCCCAACTGGGTTGATATAATTCCTCCAACATTGCTTGTGCTCGTTACACCAAGTACTACTTCTTTTTTCACCATCGGTATGAATTTTTAGTCTTTGACTTAAGCAATAGAGGTTTAAATCAATTTAACTAACTCAGACGATCCAGAGGTCTTCTATTAGTAGTGATGTGACTAGCCGAGTTAACGAGTCAAGTCAACTTGAGTCTGGACTCGTATGTCAGTTTATTTTAAACTCTAGTAAACAATTCTTTTACGAACCAAACCCGAACTCACACAAGTGAACAAAAGATTTGAATGAATTATTACCGTCAGGAATTAAATTTTCTACTAGACACCTTTAAGCGTTTTTCGAAAATCACACTCCTTTACCTTCAAAAAAACGCCCTAGGCTACTTTCAAAAATTTGTAAATTTCTTTAAAATTTTTACCGATTTTCGCTAATTTTTCCAACCTAAGTAAATTATTTTTCCAAATATTATTAATGTTTTGTATTCACTCTGGTTTACTTTAAATTTGAGTAATTCAATGTTTTTTTGTAACTTGACTCTTTGACCCCCAAAACTTGGGTTTAATGTCAAAATTTGAAAGTTGTTATGACCCCTATGTTATTCTTATGGAGAATAAAGATAACATTTAATGACTTTGGTATGGTGGTTTGAATCGTTTAGAAACTGGCTAGAGACTTGAAACTTGGTAGCATTGTAGTATGGGATCTTAAATTAACGGTGAATTTTGCAAAAGCCCCATTTTCAAATTTTAACCCACCCAAAAATCCAAGATGGCGGACATCTAAAAACAACAAAACAAGTTTCTTTAGCTTGAAAACTGTAAGAGCTAGAAAAGAATTGAAAGAATTTTCACTGTCGGGAATTACATTTTCTACAAACCTCTCTTATATTTTTTTCCGAAACTTTCACCCCTTCACCCCTAAAAAAGTCCTACTTTCTAAAATTTTAAAAATCTTTTTAAGTCTTTTTTTGGTTTTCGCTACGTTTTCCTACCTTGGCGATTTGTTTTTGCAATTATTATTAATGCTTTGTATTTTCCTTAGTTTACCTAAAATTTTACACTGTACATGCTTTTTCGTAACTTAACTCCTTAACCCCTAAAACTTAAGTTTAATGTTAACATGTTAAATATATTTTTATGAGCTCCATAACATTTACAAAGTTTTAAAAGGAATCTTTACATGATATATGGGCACAAGGGCATTGCAACTATACACACTTTACTGTATTAGAGCTAACACCAAGGTGAATATAAAATAAACCATATGAAAATTCCCCTCCCCCCCTCCAAAATCGATTTCTCCCTTATATTTTTCCTATAGTCACTACAGGTGCATCGGTCTAAATCACGTTTACCCCCTTTTAGATTAGCTGGTGATTGAAATTTGGCACCATTGTAGGTCTTGAGCTTTTATTTAAAACTGGCATCTACAATAGTAACCCCCCCCCCCCCCCGAAATATCAAATTCCTCCCCCCCCCAATGTTATTTTTACAGGTGCATCGGTCTAAATCACGTTTACCCATTTATAGATTAGCTGGAGATACTGAAATTTGGCCCGATTGTAGGTCTTGCACCCTTTTCGGAAATTTACATTTTAAAATAATAACAACCCCCTTCCAAAATATTTACTTCCCCAATGTCATACTACAATTGCATCGGTCTAAATCACGTTTACCCACTTCTAAATAAACTGGAGATCTGAAATTTGGCACGATTGTAGGGCTTTGTAGGGGGGATTGTTTGGTCTTGCGTCCTTCTTGAAAAGTGACGTTTTACAATAACAACCCCCCCTGAAATATAAAATTTCCTCTGCCCCCCAAAAAAACTAGACAATTTTTAAAAATTAAATTTTCCTATAATAACCCTTTTTAAGAATTCCCCCCCCCCCTCCAAGTTATTCTTCTGGGAAATAACTTTTTAAGCTGCTGACTTTTTTATAAGGAACAGAAGCCTTTTAAAAACTACTTTTCGGTAATAACCATCTTAAAGTTATTTTTATTCTTCTTTACGCTTCTTGGTCTTAGCCTTTCACCCCCCCCTTTTATTTTTATAGGAAATAAGTTTGAAAGTGGCTGTTAGATACTTCTTACGAGAGATTTTTAATTTGCCAAGGATGTATAAGTAATCTAATAAGTCAACACCCCACAATGGGGGACTGGGGCTAGACTCTAATCTACTAATTACGACTAATTGGATATACTTGCCAATGCGGCTCGCAAAACTTGATCACTATTGGCTGAAAATGAATTTGACACACCATTGGCCAGAAGCGAGTCCATCAACTAACTCTTTTAGAGCTGAGGCTGACTCATCTTGCAACTTTTTAAAAACAAACTCACACGGAAAAGCCAAACAAGATTTTATAACTTGTCTGATTCAACTTGTAACTCGAGTCAATAGCAAATAATTGAATCAATGGAGGAAGGAAAGTACTCGACTCGTCACACCACTATCTATGAGCGATATTACCACGAGATCCAACTTCTCTGCTTATACCATTCTTTAATCACAAATCATGAAACTCTGTAAGCAAATCAATCACCAGGCAATACGCTTGTGGACGTGGATTCAGTGTTGTGCGTTGCACATGATTGGGACAGCACAAGTCCTCCAGTGTGAAGCAATTGTTATCAGCGCCGTAAGCACGGCACAGCACTGAGCCTAGGATCACACACACTATTGTCAACCCACGACGTAATGGCGTCTCGTTTGATACGTGTGAGTTAATCCTTCAGTTATCAAAAACCATGACACTGTACATGGCGCAAGGTGAAAATTACATGGGGGCTTTAGTGCCTGGCTATGTATTTTCATGAAAGACTTCTTAAATATCTCAAAGCCATAGCCATAACATCAGGTTAAGTAACTTATTTATAAATATTTGAAATGTATAGCTACATCATGCCAAAGGATAACCACATACAGACAGTTTAGCTAAATATAGTGTATTTGAAATCAGTTGTGAATGTTATTGAATTTTTTTTACCTTTTTTATCAGCATCTTTCGCATACCCTTCTTCACTTGAATTTGAAGAATCTGAAAAAGTTATAAGATTATTAAAAAAGAGTAAATTTTTTTTTATATATAAAACAAAATTAAATTTTATGAAGTTATGAAAATCAGGCATGAATTATTCATTTTACCTTGCGTTTTGGTACGTATAAAACCAAACTTAAACCGGGATCTTTCCACAAACTGGACTTGAAACCCGGAAGCAGTTGAAGACATAAAGTTTTAAGGAGGTTTGTTAAAGATGGGAAATCTAAAATTGTTATGTCAGTTCCAACAGCATTTAGATCAGATATTTCAAATACAAGCCTATTGTCAAAAGTCTGACCAGTTTTACAAGTGATTTATAAATCATTTCAAACTATTTTGAAAACTAAAATTTTCACTGAAATAACTTGCCTTTGGCTTGCTGGTGGTTTCTGCCCCAGGCCCCTGTTTTCTATAAGATTTACTGCTCCTGTTTAATGTTTGTTGTACTATCCTAGATTGTTAAGAGCCTTGCATAGTATATATTACGTGATTGCAGCGTCGCAGTACACCATTTTAGTTCCTTTTATCCAAAAGCAATTATTTAGTTATACCCAAGCAAGAAGTGTATCATATACAAGTGGTGATTAATTTATTTCACTTTAACTTTGTTTTCATTTACGAGAGGATTATTTTTAGTTACTGTATGTCCAAAAGTTATTGTTTTGTTAAGACTAGTCACAAATTTAGGCCTATAGTTAGAATCGGCATATTATTTCATTTTGTCAGTGCTTTGTTGTGCAGACACTGTGACCGTTATATAGATAGGAGGCAGAATTATTTTAGTTGATTTCGGAAGTTATTGTTTTATCAAGTCTAGGTATTGTTCTTTCGTCAGTGCGTCGCTCTGCTAGCACCGTGTTGGCGTGTGTTATAGCCTCCGTAATTGATGTTTGGCATGTTGACGTACCAACAGTTAGTGTACTAGTGCATGCAGGCCGACACAATAACCAATCACCTGACAACACATTTTCCTAAGGCCGAGCAGTAGGAGCAACGGAGACGGATGCAAGCAAGCCTTGGACGTTCTTGAGTTATCGGAAAAAATCGGAAGTAAGTTTAGGCTAGCAGGTAAGCTTGTTAAAAATAACGGACTTTTAGACACCGATTTTAGATAGGACTAACAGGTTATGTCTGAGTTGCAACAAGCGCTAAAACCCCTTTTAGCATTTTTAAAAATCTGTCATTTTAAAATTATTTGGGGGGAGGTTGTGTTTGAAAAAGATACATCTTGGGATTTTTCTGTTTGGTTTATAACCATCATATATAAACAACCAAATTTAAATTCCAACCCTACCGTAGTTCTTAAAAAAAATAGGTAGTTCTAGAGAAGTGTGTTAAAATTTGTACACCTGATTAGTCAGTAAGGGAGTAACACATGTGGCAGTAAATGTAGTTAGATCAAATCTATGTTTTCTAACAAGCCTAACTAAGTTTAGCATTAAATGTTGTGATTAAGTTTAACCAGGGTAAAAATAGGCAAATTTATAAATCATAGGATTTGATTAAAGGAATGTTGATCTTACCTTTGTCAAGAGATTGTTTGAGATTCATTTTAGACTCCTTCTTGTCCTTGTCTCTTGAGGGGGAAGACGTCCGCTTGTCCTCAAGTCTTGAGGTGGAAGACTTCCGCTTGTCTCCGGCTCTTGAGGTTGTGGAAGAAGAATTCCGCTTTTCCTTGTGTCTGGAGGCTGAGGTAGAAGACTTCCGCTTGTCCCCGTCTCTCGAGGTTGAGGTAGAAGACTTCCGCTTGTCCCTGTCTCTTGAGGTTGTGGAGGAAGAATTCCGCTTGTCCTCGTGTCTGGGAGAGGAAGACTTCGACTTGTTTGGAGAGTCTTTTCCACTCCTTGTCTTCTGTCTGCGATCACTTTGCAGATGTTTGGTTCTTTTATTACCTAAAAAAAATAGTGTTTAGTTTTATGCAGATAGTCAAAGAATGTCCCCCCTTTCATTTTTTCCTGAAAGATTACCAAATATTATGCAGGTATCCATTTCAATAAGAGAATTAGTGTTTGAGCAGGAATAGTCACAAAATAATCTCTAAAGTTAAGTAGGCAAAGTATTTTTGTTCTAAATCAAATTTTTGTCAATAACTTAAAAGACATAAGGATCATTTGATGTAAGCCTAATGTCTTCTGTCTATTCAGTTAAATTAATATTAGTCACCCCAAGTCATCCCCCTCTGCAGGATACTCCATTTGGGTAGGCAATAGATATTTTAATTTATCCCATGATAGAAACATTTCGGTTCATTGGATCTTTTATTAATTGCTACCTCTGGAAGTATTTATTTAATAAATAGGCCTATGTCTGAAATTAGCTGTACCTATAGACAATAGACAATTCCTTGATTACAATTTCATCAAGAAATGTTACAGCGTCAAGTTTGAATAAATAACATTGGTATTGTAAGAATATGATCTATACTTCAGGGAGCGTCGGTTTTCCTTTGTATATTATTTGTCTATTAATACGAGACTAGGCTATAGTCTCCACATTTGAGTGGGAACCAGATGGAATGGACCTAGTAAGTTAATGGATTAAATAGGTTATAAAGAGCATGGCACTGATTCTTAGATTTAAACATGACCGTTTGCAAATGGGAGCACGCTGGAGATTTACGGACCACCCTCTTAGTTAAGTTAGCTAACCTAGAAAATAACCAAATGCATCCCTAAGTAACTGGTCAATCAAACATCAATTCACAGTTAAATTTAAGTCTTTAACATTGTGATATTTTTACTATATGTAGGCATAGACAAAGAGAATTAACTAGGCCTACAGACCGTCAGCTGCGCTGCGGTTACCATAGGTTCTGCCGCACACCACTGGGAGCGCCGTGTAGTTACGACATACACGCTATGTAACTACACGGGCGCTTCCAGCGGTCTGCGCCAGAACCTATGGTAACCATGGTAACCGCAGCACGGCTGACAGTCTATATTTAATTATTTTTGTCTATTCCTAAATTAGAGTTGTAAGTATTCAGATTGAATGAAATAACCCAATGGAAATTGCAAAGTATTTTTTAAAAGCTAGGCCTAGCATATATTCATTTTAAGTGTGGTGACACACCAACTCTAATCAGACCTTTTTCATGCAATATAATCTAGGTATTTTCTTGTTATTTATCATTACAGTAAAATAATTGGATAACTCAACTCAGTTAATTGTTTTTGCTTGGTAATCAGAAGGTCTGTGACTTTAGCTAGGCCTACGGTACTTTAAAACTGGACGCTGCCGTCCTTGATTTACGTAATGGTTTTAGGTAAAGAATTAGCTTTTTAGTTATACCTCAGTCAATGGCAATGCTAAGTTATTAGGCCTATCATATTTTTTTTAACTCTCCCCTCACACTACTTGCCTTTAAAAACAGCCTGGTGTTAGTGTAGTAGGCCTATTAAGGTTGAATCTAATCCGACAACTACTTAAGGTAATATCTTACCCACCAATATGGTTTAAGACTACATAGCTAAATTACAAACTTATAAATTGCCTTATTACAGAAGTAGCTATTGAAAGAAAAGAAAGATAATAGATACCGGTACCGTAAGTTATGTTAGTAGAGAGATTAAGATAATTTCAGTTCAGAACCAGGAGACCATTTGCTAATCATTGACGCACAGTTAGTGATATGTAGGCCTAAGTTAGTAAGAAACCAGAGTTTGGATATTTTATAAAAAAAATACAATTTAGAAAAAACACTTCAAATTACTATTTCAAAAAAGGAAGCATTTTTGAAAAAGTACTTAATTTGAAGTGTTTTTCTCAGGATTTTAATTTTACAAAAACTGCAGGAAACATAAACTAACAACTCGATACATTATAGGCTAACCTAAACTTTACCTTCCTAATCTAACCTAACTTCAAAACACTTATTGCAGTCACCAATTCACATACAGCACGACCTACCACCCTGACATGCCTAAATAAGAACTACATGTAATTAGTCCACCAGTCCATCTATATCTCCATAATGTGACGAAATTCCTATTATAGAGAACATGTTATTTGACTACAGAATCACTTGAAATGTTATCCATCCTATCTTGTTTATTGTAATGTTAAGTATGTTTTATGGTGATATCTTGAGAAATATTCATCAGCAGTGAAAAATAATGGTATGTTTGGATTCAGGAGGTAAAAAACTATAAAGTAAGATATCAAAATTAAAAATTCTTTTGGAGGCACCTATACGGAATAAATACCAAAAAACAAATAGGCATAGGCTAGCATGTACAATATAATGAGGTGAAAAGTAAGTTACTGTAAAATGTTTTTCTTAGTGTGTGCTGATAGCTTAGGCCTGTAGGATAGGTTAACTTAGATGGATTTAACTAAGAGAGCTCTAGGCCTAATAAAAGAATTTCCTTAGTAAGTAACTTAGGCTTCTGAAGAGTGAATTTGTATTAGCCTACTTACTCTATAAATAATATTTCGACAATGTTATATTATTGGATTTTTAAATATTAAGTTAAAATTCACTTAGTTAGTTGTCCAACATATTCAACATTCAATTTGATAGTTAAGTTACCGCTATGGTCTTGGTCTACCAAAGGGTGGCGGGAGGGGGGCATCTGTTAGATGGGAAAAATGAACAATAAATAATCTGTATACGCCGACTACTATACGATAAAGGATGATTTAAGGGTTGAATTGCGTGATAAGTAAAGAACACAAATTTAGAGGTAGCCTAGGTCTAATCTAAAACAAAAAACGAAACGAATCAAAAATTTTCTTTTGTAGCGACTCCCGTTCAAACAATAAGTTCTCGTTTTAAGAAAGGAATTAACAGACACCAATAGCTAACCTGGAAGCGTTTAAGGCTAATACGAGCTAAACAAAATTCACAACTAAAACTAGCGGCTAAAATTTAAATATGTTTAATTAAGGTTATACTTAAAAATACTGACTTGACTCTGACAAAAGCGGCGTCTGTGAGTGTAGTCTGTACTCCCGACTGTCAAAGTGTCATGGCGGCCACCTATATCAGAATATTTTTCTTCGTCGTTGTTTATTTTGTTTTTACTATGCATACTCAATAAGAGAGTTTTGTTATGAAAACAAAGTTAAAAAATACGAATGATTATAATTTAAAAACCTATTATAAAAGTTTCTCTTTTATAAGAACAGAAATCTACCTCAAGATCGCTAACGAAAAGAATAAACTACAAGAAACATGAAAATCTTTCGGGATAAAAACTACTGAACATACAATGATATGTGTATGTAATAATAAAATGAGTGTGGTTTGTAAGAAACTATATTTTAATTTTTGTTTACAATCCTATAGTCTGGAATTAATATGAGATTAGACATATTTATTAAATAGTAAGTAAGTTGCACAGTTAGTAATTTTGGGGTGAGCACTTTTTCGTCTAAAATGCTGTGCGATTTCGCGACTATCGTTAATCGTTCGTTACTCTATCGAATCACGAGCACGACATAATATATTATCGATGCGATTGTAGTAGTTCTTTGTCACAGATCCTGTCAGAAGCTTATTTACGGACAAAATGAGAGCATTCAATTATAAAATTAAACTGTCATAACCTAACCTTACTAACCATACTTGCTGATAATGAAAAAAATCTACGGACGAAATGAGAGCCTTCTATTATAAAATAAACTGTCAACCTAGCCGAACTTGCTGATAATATAACAAATATATAAGATAAAAATCGAATCAAGGTTTACTAATCTAAAATTATAGTTCTGTTCATGAAATAAAATTTTGTAAATTCCTCAAGTTCTAACAAAATATGTAGCCTACATCAGTTAAGAAGTAATCGCTTTCTAAGCAAAATCTTGAATCAAACCCATTTGATCCTAAATAATATTGACTAGTGTACATGTTGCTCGAATTCGAGTAATTGCAAAGTATTACAGGAGTTATTTCAATACGAATGCCAGTCATATTTACAATGAGTTTAAAAGGGTCAACTCAAAGATTACCGGTGTGTAACTCAGACCATGTTTATCTGGGTCGCCGGAAGACTGCCCCCCAGAAAACTACCCCCCCCCAAGCAGGTTCCTACGTCATATTGACGTCAGAGACCGGGGGGGGGCAGTTTTCCAGTCACGGACACTCAAATTTAGTTGTCAAACAGTTCTAATCTAACCTAACCTAACCAACCAAACTTGCTCTGACACTTCGAAAATCTGTTTTATATTCACCAGATGCCTTTACTATTATCTAACGCAATTACTCGAATTAAAATTAAAATTACATAGCATGATTTGTCTAGGGGGGGGGGGTAGTATTCCAATCGCGGACACGGCTTCCATATTGGTTAGTTAGCAGATTTTGTGACGTCACGTTTCACCTGGGGGGGTAGTTTTCCAGGGGATAGTATTCCGCATCCCCGTTTATCTTCGTTATTGATAAACCTAAAGCATTCCGGCCGGTTTTCTCCTTCTCAAAATGCCTCGCTGTACAGGCAACACAGGTCATTGATAGAGGGCCAATTGAGAACGAAAAGTCGTTTTGGGGTAGTAGTTAGGGCTCATTTGTAACCTAGTAGTTGAGATTGTCCAGGGTCAGGTGCTGACTGTGATGCGTCAGCACTTTACACGACACTGTTCTTTAGCTGCGGTCGTTATCACGATTACGCCTCCTGTCTATGTTTCGTTGTCGTCGCGTCGGAAGCATTTAAAAGAAAAAAAACTACGAATAAACAAATTATAGCTACACAAAACAACGATAAATGCACAAATTTAAGTTACAATCATGCTAACTCGATCCGTCATAGCGACACAAAACAACGATAAATACACAAATTTAAGATACAAGCATACTAACACGATCCCAACTTGGGGGTTATGTTTAGACAAACTCAAATAGTAAATAAATGTACTCAATGCGTTTCTTTGAATGAAAAAAAATAACAGCAAT